ATACTTTGTTAGGTACGTAAGTACGTACCGTTTGGATCAGTAAGTTCGGATCCGGAAATGCGGACGTTACTGTCATTGCTTGCGGTCTGGGTGACGCAGTATTCGACCTCAAACCGGCACAAAACGCCTGGAAACATATACTTGCAACAGCTGTCGAGTCTCTACTATTGCCTACTCAATGTTCTGAAGGAACTTTATAAGGCTACCAACTCAGTCTGCGTAAGTGATATCTCTACCGCAATAACCATTCGCACCGTCTCTGACCGTAGGGAGGAGGGGGTTGCAGGTTACAACGAGAGGAACAGAGGCCCAACTATACATTTTCTTTCACGGAAAACTAAGTGGCACTATCACACAAATGTTCACTAAGCATTCATCGCACAGAAGAAAAGTTTCAAGAAATAAAACGATGGATATTTCTTTTCATCCTAAATATATATATGACGAAATATATAACGAAAATTGGCGAGGTTGTAAATAAACATGTTTAAATGATAGAGTAGTAGGTACGCGATATTATGGACCAAAATTTAAGTAGTTTTTGTACCCATCGGACGCTGTATGTTTAGTAAACTCGAACTTGAGTAAGCAGTGCCGGGACGGGACGGGGCATACGTGTGTTATTTTAATTTTCGCGACGGGAATTTAAAAGATTTTTGAATCAGCGCCAATTAAAAATATGATAGGTAACTGTTCCTTTCATACTTTTCTGTTCACCACTTTTTTTCCTCGTTTTTGCCCGAGGAAAGTTGAAAAAAATACGTAAATTTTACTTAAAATTTATGTAAAACATTTACTTAAAATTTTTCGTCAAATTTATGTAAAAAAAGCCCCAAAAAGGGTTTCCTAATACGAATATTTCAAGAGTTTTTTTGTACGTAATTTTCAAGTGGTTTTAAAGTAAATTTTAAGAGATCTCTTAAAATTTACGAGTTTTTTACAACTTTTCTCAACAGCCACTACTACTAGGGTTGTTCTGCTCCTTTTAGCTCTTTCCCTCCTCTTCCAAAGTTATGAAGAGGGGTGACTGGGGTGTAATAAAAATCGAGTGCGACTTGGACTTTAACGACTTAAAAAGTCGTAAATACCGCGGCCTCTCAGTGTTGCCCAATATGACAGGACTTGTCTGGTGCTTGTATGCGTACTTTTCGTATTTGCGTGCTCAATTGACAACACTTCATTGGGCAAATTTTAATTACCCAAAACTTTTCGGGCTGTAAATAAAAATTTTAAAAGCAGGGCCACGCAGTGCACAAATTCACGTTTAGGAGATAATGGTTCAAAACCACAACGTTACTGATGTAGTCTAAACAGCGTTTACAATTTCAGCCTTAGGCAGAGCCGGATTAAGGGGGTGGCCACATGGGTCGCGGCCGATGGCGGCAAATCTAGAGGGCGGCAAATTTTGCAATTTTTTTAAAAGTAGGTACATGTAAAAAAATATCGGATTTAGAAAAAAAAAAATACAAACGAGAAAAGGCGACGAAATCTCTCATTTCCTGCGAGTATAGTAATGTTTAATTTTGTTGTCTTTCAGTGATACAAGAGACAGCATTCGCAGGCGTTTTCAAAACAGCCAAGTTCCGATACCCGGATTATCGTTTTGCATAGTTCATATTCTTTTGTTATATTCCGTGACACTCGTTTATTTTTAATCCTCGTAGAAAATCCACCCATTTGTAAATACAATTCTAGCTGGAGCGCACTTCAGCTATGCATTCACCTCTGCAAAAATTTCAGAGTAAATCGACAAGCCCAGCGTGCATGGAGGCTACCTCCATTTAAATGTTCCGTCACATTCTTACGGCGCAATGATACAACTATTTGAACTCTCCGGAATGCCTGAGGTATCACGCCGCATTTGAAGGCGTTTTCAAAACAGCCAAGTTCCGTTATCGGAAAAATCGTTTTGCATAGTTCATATTATTTTTTTTTCCATTTCTAACCACTTGTTTAATTATAATCCTCCCATAAAAACCACCCATTTGCTAAATACAATTCTAGCTGAAGCGCACTCAAGCGCATTCATGACTGCAAAAATGTTAACGGAAATCGAAAAGGCCAGCGTGCATGAAGGCTATTTCAATTCCGATCTTCCGTCGCATTTCTAAGGCGCAATGGTACAACTATTTGAACTCTCCGGAATGCCTGAGGTATCACGCCGCATTTGAAGGCGTTTTCAAAGCAGCCAAGTTCCGATACCGGGATTATCGTTTTGCATAGTTCATATTCTTTTGTTATATTCCGTACCACTAATTTATTTTTAATCCTCTTAGAAAAACCACCCATTTGCTATATACAATTCTAGCTGAAGCGCACTTAAGCGCAATCATGACTACAAAAATGTTAACGGAAATCGAAAAGGCCAGAGTGCATGAAGGCTGTTTCAATTGTAATCTTCCGTCGCATTTCTAAGGCGCAATGATACAACTAATTGAACTCTCCGGAATGCGTGAGGTATCACGCCGCATTTGAAGGCGTTTTCAAAACAGCCAAGTTCCGATAACCGGATTATCGTTTTGCATAGTTCATATTTTTTTGTTATATTCCGTGCCACTCGTTTATTTTTAATCCTCGTAGAAAAACCCCCATTTGCTAAATACGATTCTAGCTGAAGCGCACTTCAGCTATGCATTCACCACTGCAAGAATGTGAAAGGAAATCGACATGCCCAGCGTGCATGAAGGCAGGCCCGCCACAAGGGGGGGATACCGGGTCCCTGGTACCAGGGCCCGGGCCCCGTGTTACCCGTGAAAAACCTCTACGAATTCACACGCAACCCTTCTTTCAAGAAAAAGTGAAAAATTTACCAAAAGGTGAATAGATTTTTAAAAACAAGCTGGGGCACTGTAGAATTCTTCTTAAATCTTCAAAGAAGTATAATTCTTGGAAAATTTCTATCTTTATTCAAGACTTTCAGTACAGACAGTGTTCCAACCCCACGAGCGCCATGTCGCCAAATGCTCCTAAAAAATCGGCCATGGCCCCTAAAAAATGAAGACCCTGCGCCAAACGTGGCCCCTAAAAAATTGTCGCAATCCTAAATTACGGTTTGATGATTTCAAGATTTTTGTCAGTCAGCCTGGACTGAACGCGCATAGCAAGCAAATGCGCGCGGAACTTCGTCGCGGCAGCGGCTCAGCAGATCGAGAATCGTACTACTTATCGTACATACTATAGAATCGTTCTACTAATTTTTATAATAGGAAGTCAGAAAAAGTATTATTTAATTGAACAAACTTTAAGTAAACTAAAAGCTCCTTGTTTTAAATCGGAATATCATTCCTTTGGCCTTTCCCTTTCCCAAGTAATGGCTGCGAGTTGCAACTTGCAAGTCCTGTAACTGTATAACTTGCGTATAACTTTTCACTAAATGTGCCATGATATACAGGCAAAAATTCAATTTGGCCCCTAAAAAATCTTCAATGGCCCCTAAAAATTGAACTTAATGGGCCAAACGGCTCCTAAAACTTGGAGGTGAAGTTGGAACACTGAGTACAGAGGGATATTTTTAGTGACTGCGTTTCATTTTCTTCCGTCGTCAGATGCTAGGAGTCTCCAGTCTGGGCATCCTCGACTTCAATGGCTCATGGCTCAACTCCCTTGCCATAGACAAACGAAGGGGGAGTCCATAGAGAAAAAAAAGGAGGTGTTTGCATTTCGGGCATCTTGGAATTTTTTGATGACTTGATGACGTAGGTGGGTACAGTGTGAAGGGGACGTCCCTGTACCCAGCTGTACCCACCTACGTCATCAAGTCATCAAAATACTCCAAGATGCCCGAAATGCAAACACCTCCTTTTTTTTCTCTATGGGAGGAGTCCAGGGGGGCCTGCCCTTCTTAGAACTGAAAATAGTATCATATGCCCCCCCCCCCAAAAAAAATAAAATTTTCCAGATGTTTTGAATGCAACAATTCGCAAGTATTTTGTGCTGAAAGTAGGAAAAAAAACATTATTATTCCCCAGAAATTGATGGAAAAATTCTTTATGGAAGTTTCAAAATGCGTCCAATTAGTCGTATAAATTCTAAAATTTCTCGGGGGATGCCCCTCGGACCCCCCCCCCCCAAGCTTTGGGCCCGGACCTTAAAACTGGTACCAGGGCCCGAGATGGGATGTGGCAGGCCTGACTGCAGTATCCGGAGAAAGACAAGACAAAGTTATACAATACTTTCTTTTATTTTTAATTTTTTAAAAAAATGGTGAAAAAATAGGTGAAACCTAAAGGAACAATATATTTCTCCTGGCCATAAAAATAAAAACAATTAATGACCTGGAAAAAGTTAAATAATACTGACTTTTTTTCCTGTATTAAATTTGAGGGCATGTTAAAAACAAACTGTAAAAGAAAATGGCAGGTACATACAGGATGCTTCGTGACAAAACGCTAGCAATGACTTATAAAAAGTTTAGAATAAAAATTGTGGACAAGTGCAGAGCAAGAGACAATTCTAGTTAATTTTGATGATAGAATCAAGTTTTTATGGAAACAAGGAACTGACTTTAAAAATTTAAACAGGAACTTTTGATACTGATAAAAACGACAGAGGAGAGCAATTGAATGTTGACTTTTTACATCAAAAGCAAACCAAAGAGTTTCCTGTTTCTTACATTTGGACAGTTTTTGAGGTGACACTTTCTATTTAAACAGATAAAAAAACTGTACATCTTAACCGTACACTGTAAACCATAACCGAACATAAAGTAGGAGTCACCTTGAAGAGAGTAAAACTAGTCTCCGCATTAAAAACGAAACTAGAAAAGCGAAAGTTTTAATCGCGGGTTTTCAAAATTTTCGCTCATTCACACTAAATCAAGAAAAAACGTTTCAGAAGACTCATAAAAAGTAAGTTGACTTCTTCGAGGCAGCTCTAACAACAAAAATATCGTACAATATCATAAGATAAAATAAGTTAATGCTAAGTTTAGAATAAAACAAGCAACACGCAAGAAAGACAGAAGAGGAAGAAGGAGAAGAATGTACAAACTGAAAGATTTCTTGGGAAAGTGATGGAACCGGCGGCAGATTCTTACAAAGTGCTTCCTGTGGCTAAACTAGGAAACCACGTATCTCAGTTTGCAATATTGTAGGCTATCCATCAAGCTATATTTTTTAAGTGTAAAATTAATTGAAAACCGCCTTAGAATTTTCGAGATACATAATTCTTTAGTGGTTGCGGAATATTTTGTGGACATTGTATGCAGTGAAGTTGACTTGCTTTCATTCAAGAAATGAAAAAGGAGCAGTGATACAGAGCAAAGCTATCAAGATACATGGTTCCTTGCTATAGCCATTCATTTACATAAATTAACACTAAAATTGATAACTAGGCTTTAAGAAATCCCCAAGAGCATAATGAGGAAAATTGTATGTAAAACAAAAATTTTCAAATTTCTGGACAACCTAGCAACAAAAAGGGAATGCAAATACAAGGTCCTCCAATGATAATGGGTCTCAATTTCTTGCTCGGCTGTGAAGCCAGGCAATCAACAGTATGATTTTCATCTCTCAAGTCATCGTAGTTTCTGAGAAGAGCACAAAGGAAAAATACCTTCCAATTGAACGGATTCAAGTGAAATCAGCTTAACTTGACATTGCCAAGTTGGACTTCATTTTACAGCTAGGAACTACAATCTCTGGCTTGGTTTAGACACAACGTATGTGCCATTTGTTTTTCCATGCACATTCGTGTTTTTACGGATGGGCTAGAGATTATAGTTCTTAATAGCAAAATGAAGTCCAATTTTCTCTGATTTTTTAACTTTAAAACAGGAAATTAAAAAACACCGATTCAAGGAATTTAGTAAAGTAATAATCTAGAGTAAGCTTACTGAAGGTTTAAACTAGTTTAGTTCTTTGTTTAAAAATTGAACAAGAGAGAAAATTATGCAACTTGAAATGCAGTGAGGCTGATTTTGGACGGATCCGTCAAATTGATCTTCACACTGAAAGATGAAAAGATCATTCAAGCATCACGCCAATATGAACTCTACTTTTACTCGATGTCCTAACTTCACTACATACTAAGTGCCAATACAAACTTCGACAACAATAAAAAAAGGAGGTAGTGCCAAAAAATGGTGCCTAAAAATTTCATGCAGTCTTGACTTCTGTTGCAACCTTCCTTTTTGCAAAATTCTCTACATCATTTTTAAAATCTTTATGGCTCCTAAAACATTGTACATAGTATCCAGAAGTTAGGTTTTCTCGCCAAATGGCTCCTAAAATTTTAAGGTGAAGTTGGAGCACAACTTTCGACACATCTACATATTGAAATGAAATAATGATTTCCCTTTCTTTGATATACATCTTTTTAGATAAAAATCGAAGGGTAGAAAAAATCTAACCGGTTATACACTTACTTCACTTTATCTACAAATAAAAAACCAAAATAAAAAGAGTCTAGAAAAAGAAGAGGAGGGACTAGTAAGTCCATCTTCCTGTGATGTACAGTACAGTTTTGGGATTAAAATACATGCAACCGCATGACTCTAAACAAATTTCTGGTGAATCAGAGTCAAGCAGTAAACATCAAAGCATAAAAAAAAAATTCAGTCTATGCACAGCACAATTTTCCTTTTGATTTACGCTATACCTACACTACCTCTGCAGAAGCAGTTTTGCTACAATGGGTTAGTTACATTAGTCACTTCATTGCACTTTGATGGTTTAAACTTATAGACTGGCAAAAAATAATAAAACCCGCGCAAAGTATTTATGTCCAATATTAACAGAGATTTGAAAAGCATGGTATATGATGCCATCCACCACTTGAGTGTACACTGTACACCATTATTTCTTCCAAGTGATACGCACATTTGTACTGGCTGCTCAACTTAAAACATAAATGAAACCAAAGTGGGCGAAACCATGATACGCACCACCATGATGGATGACATCATATACCATGTTTTTCGGTAGGCGATATCGATATCTGATTGTGTGTATTGGTCTTGAAAATGGTGCCTGGACGTATCTTAGTATCTTTTGTTGGCTTATGACCAGAAATCATCAAAACACAAATCTGTGACTAGGACAACAGACCAACCGTATTATCTATACAAATTTATGGTAGAGCGCTTCGAACTAAAAAGAGAGAAATGACAATTTGTTGTATTATAACTATATTTTGACTTAATAAAAAAATAAAATAACCACAGCCCAATAGATCCCATAAAAAACGTCTCAATATTAAACCCTAGAGCCTAGATATTTCTTACTGGTAACTTATTTACAGTTTAGATGTATATGTAGGTAAGGGTTGAAAAACTTCAGACAATTTGTGTTCAAGAGTGATACAGATCGCATTTTTCAATTTTTCCATTCTTTTGCAACTATCTTGTGAACACTGAAACTCAAGTTACGCCTGAAGATAATATTGTGTAAGAAAAAATTTAAAACACAAGATGCTCATGATGATTGGTAAATTATTTTGTAGGCATTCTTTGAAAGTGAGTTTCCTTACTTTTAACAAATATTCTCACATATGTCCCACTTCGCTACCTTTCAAAGGTCTATGTCTGAGACTATCAGGTTCTGAAGTTCATTTCGAGCTGAGAAAAAAAAGAAACATCAATATTAGATGGGAGAAAAATACAGCAATAAGGTGAAAGAAAAGTTTCAAATCACTTTAGTTTTGATCATTCATTTTCTGCGATAAGAATGATTACTTAATTACGTTTGAAGACTGACTCCTTATTTCAGGAAGTTTTAACTAATTGACCAACAAAATGCAAACTGCCTGAACAGAACACTCCCCCTTAGTCTTGTACTGGTACTCATTAGAGCTCAAAGTTTTGACTCTACTTGAAATCTTTTGACTTTTTGTCCTTGTTTTCCCTGCAAAATAATGTAGACCCAGCACTATTTTACCACCTTGTTACATACAGTTTTGGGCTACGTTTCTTGGTGTCTTTTTTCTTGGTTGAAAATTTTTTGAGTACATACCTTGAAAATATGATGTATCATGTAGATCATCTGGATTAGGCACGAACGGAGGTACAGTATTCAGCAAGTTATCCCAGTCTATGTGGTTGAATAGAGGCATTGATCGTACTTCAGCCCCAGCAGGTCGCAAATTAGGATCCTGCGTTAGCAGTTGATCTATAGCTTGCATTGCCTCACAGGAGAGAGCATCATCTCCGTCAGGCCATTCCATTCCTACCGCAAAAATAGTAATACTGAATTGGAGCTAATGTATGGTCTTGAAATGGAAAGCAGCAAAAGAAAAAATGAACATAATGAATGCCAATATGTTTGACTGAAATTAATGACTTCGGTCGAAGGGGGCAACCAATTATGGCAACAGTTTGCTACAAAAAGGAGTATTAAGATGAAATTTTCCAAACAACAAAGCCAATCGAATAAAAAAAAGACATGAAAAGCTATAGATTGCATGGAAATTGAACCATCATACCAGTTTGACATCAAACTGTAAAATTTGTGTTCCTCGATAAAAATTTAGAACACGGCAGTGTCTTGACCAAATTAAGGAAAAAGTGGGATTATTTCATTTCAATTTTTTTAACCATATCTTAGGTCCGATTTTTTAAGAAAAGAAAAAAGAACCTACTTTTAAAAAATTGCTCACAATTAAAGTAAAAGGACAATGGCTACAACTAAAACAAGACAAAGCTGAGGGTCTTACTTTTGTTTAGTATATTGTCGAAGACAATTGTTGGGCTCTCTCCGTTGAAAGGTGGAATACCAGTCATGAACTCATAGAGACAGACACCTAAAGCCCACCAGTCTACTCCAGAGCCTGAAATGTCAAAAGAACATAAGGGAGACAATTTTTAAAGAGCAAAACTCGACAAAAGTACAGAGAGTGTGTGAAATTCTGAAGTTAATTGCATATGATGGGCTTTTGAATAGGAAGTGAAACTATAATTGAAAAAACTAAAGCTTATAAATTTAAATAAAATGAAAAGTAATCTGCAAAGAATTGTTTTATGCTTCTGCCATTTTTCTTGTGATTGAGTGCTAAATTTTAAGAATGCCTTGTCATCACAATTAACAATAGAACATTTTCAGTGACCATTAAGTTTCCATTTTTTCACATTAATTAGTTGGAAAAATTCGAAATTGAAAGAAATGGAGAGAGTGAGCTGAATATCACAAGTTTAACTCGCTGCTTGCAGTATCAGGTTCATGAGCACGATCCTAGCAAACACTGATGTTGGACACTGGGGTCAGCGTTAGCAACCTAACGGCGACAGTGCTTGAATGCAAACTTTGGGCTAAGAAGTTTTTTAACCCAGGTTTTGGGTTTTTTTTTAAATCAATGTTTCACCGAGAACTTAGAATGATAGAAACGCATCAACTTTCAACCATGAAAAAGAGGTTTGAAGTATTATTCCTCAACTAGACTTAATGTTAAGTACAAAGTGACCATTTCCAAGTTCAGAATATTTTTTCTTGACTTGTAAATTCTTATCAGGAGAAAATTTAAAACTTGGTAAATACATAACTACTCCTAACTCATTTGATTTCAAAATGCAACTTGATGCATTTCTGTTATACCATTGCCTACGAGAATGGAGAGGCCGTAACTATGATTCTGTGACGTCACACTAGTAGATGAAACTCGGCCGCGGTTTAACACGCGTTCTTGTGGGAGAACGCTTGCCGCGCGATGATTTCTCGCCGATATCTTTTTCAGGGTTGGTCTGACGCAAAATTTCATAAAAACCTTTTCGAAAGAAGATGAAATTTCACTTTAAAAAACTAACTAATCCATTCGTGACATCGTCTAAAAATCGAGGAAATGAAAGCGTAATGCCGAAAATCGTTACTCCACTCAGATTCAAACGGGCCGCTCGCGCAACTTCGGCCGATCGAGGGCCACTCTGATTGGTCCACGCAGCGACTGCCTCACTCATCGATGCACCGATGACCTGGAGATGCTTGTTGTTTTCGGTAAATAGCTACTAGCTTGACGTCACACAACTGACTAGTTACGGCCTCTCCATTCTCGTAGGCAACGGTTATACCTACCTGGTCCGTGTTGCCTGGTATTTTGAACAAAGCTTTCTGATAACATGATTATTAGCAGAAATACAGTATCATAAGCAATACTGAAAACAGTTCAGAAACATATATGTATTAAGTTGTTTACCATGATCTTTCTTCAACAGCAGTTCAGGTGCTAGATAGTCAGGAGTTCCGAGGATACGACTATCGCTTGCTTGTTTTCCTTTCCTCAAGGACTTGGGGGTCCTGAATGGAATGTTCCTTTTAATCACGTTTGGAGTCCTTATAGGGCTCATTGCAGATTCGTCCTGAAACCGCAACATGATGACGAGAATGAGACGTACAAAGTCTGATAAATATTCTTACATTTTTGCTTGAGGATATTCCTAGTCTTTGAAAGTTATTTGATTCTCACTTGGACTTCATTTTGTAATGAGCAACTATATACTATTTCTGACTCATCCAATAAAGAACTTATCCACGCAAGGAAACATACGGCACATGCCTTGATTCTAAAATGTAAAATGTAGTCCATTTCATGTTCTTGCAAACATGACATTTCTGACTCACTTTATGAATAAATTGGCACACTTTTGGTGGTTTGCAATTTCATCCACATTTTGTCACACTCAGGGTAACAGTAAAGGCACCTTTGAACAATTAAAATAAGGAATGCAAAAATAAAGGCACTGAATTTTCTAAAGATAATAAACCGAATAACAAATTTTAATGAACAATTTGCGATCAGCTGCGATTAAGCTACGAAAAACAAACAATACCATTGACTGATGATCCATAGAGGTTACAGATGACATTGAAACATCATTTGGTAATGCAAATCTTGTTGATTTGACCACTGGAATAGAGTCCGAGTTAAATTTAAGAGTGGAGTGGAGAACAGGGGTTGAAAACATGACACCTCCGGTTGCTCCTACATATTCGTCTGAAACAAACCTGAGAAAAAATTTACATGAGTTTGCAGAGTATGAAGAAAAAAGTGAGAATCTCTTAAATACTTCTGGCAAAGTATCTCATGTACTTAGATGCGGCTCGTATTTTATAAAAGTTTGTCTAAGACAGTAGAGTAATTTTGACTATTTCTGAATACTGAAATTCACACTCAGCAGCAAAAAATTCAAACATACGAAAATTGAAAGATTAGACGGTAAAGATCTCTCTCTCTTTGTCTTCTTTTCTAAGTTTGTGAAAAAAACTTTGACTTTTCCAGATTTTCGGGTTGCTTTACCAAGTTTTTCAGACTACTAAGAGGGTGAACAGACAAAAGATCCTGTGATTGGTTATTCACATTCCATTATAATGGCAATTCAATAGAAAATTAACAAGTTTTGGTAAAAAAAAAAGTGCCAATTATATCTAATTGTAAGGAGGAACATTTGAAAGTGCATCTGCAGTGAAAAAAATACCTCTGTTTGAGGACACTCTTTAGTGGAGATTGAAAAGATTGCTCCGAAGCGACAGAAGGTTTATGGTTGGGGGTGGTGTTTGTGATGTCCACAAGGCTCAAATCTTGCGTCAAACCAGAATGCAGAAAAGGGGATGCAGTATCGTCACTGCCACAAAGTCGCTTCCTCTTTCGAAGAACACTTGGACGTTTGAAGGATCCTCTGTAAACATAAGAACATAAATTAACAAGGCAGCAGAGAGTAAGAAAACCGGAAAGAGAAAACTATAGCAGAAACAATTTTCTTTGCTTTCCTGTGAAAAATCAATTACTAATAAAATATTTTCTTAATTCTCAGCAAGCAAATAAAAGATTGTAACGTACCTGGTAGTGGATAATGGGGACGGAGTGAATACGCTTTGATTAGCTTGTTGTTTGCATGTACAGTTCCCGTTTTGATGACCATTTTGAGAACACGAAGTGCAAGTGACAAAAGATAATACTGTTGAGCTTAGATTGGTTGATGCTTGAGTAGAGGACAAATTCTCTGTAGATAGAAATAAGTCAACACCGGATAACTGACTGTCATTCATCAGGGATTTTGGAGTGCTGAATGGAGATGGGGAACTGAAGCGGTCCTGCAGCATCTTTTCATGAGAGCCCTGACATAAAAAATGATGAATGTCAGTAAATGAAACTATGACATCTTACAAAAAAATGAAATAACTTTGTTTCCTTCCATCAGATTTACGGAAAACTGAGGTAGGTCTGTCCCTTTCGTGTATTCTTTGCACAGTAATAAATCCTGAGATTAAAACGCAATGGTAAAAATCGTTCTTCCTCATTCAATCATTCACCGGCAAAAAAAATTTTTGTGTAGAAAATTTGTGAAACATAGGGCGTAGAGGCAAGAGAAATTAGTATTCTCCTGCTTCTGGCAGCTTTTTTTTAAACTCAATCATAAAAAAACTGAATTTAGACCAAGATGAAAAAATTTTGATGAGACAGACTGAAAGGCCAGAACATGGTGGTTCTAAACCCATGGTGCTTGAACAGCAGAAATATGCAGTGGTGTAGAGAAAGAGGTAGAAATTGGTAATGGACTAACCGACAACGGTCAGACCGATTGCTAAGATGGAAGACGCATGTTCAAAAATTCATTATTGGTGTTACTACTAAAAAAAGACCCTTGATCCTGTGCTTCAACGAACCAGAATAGGTTCAAAAACAGATAATCATGGTTTGCAAATGCCAAAAGACTGTCAAATGATGAACAATAAGAACTTCTGACCGAAAAAAGGCAACTGTAAAAATATCTTACGAATGAAAGATGAGATGTCAATGAGAGAAGTTGACCTGGAGTCCTGTTCGAAAATTTATTTGGTGTACCATTAACCAAATCTGACATCTCTAGGTCTGAAAAAAGATAATAGGATTAGACAAATTAGTAAGAGCAAAAGTGAGTCACTGTTGGAAGTGCATATCAACGGTGAAACTACCAAACCACGTATCTCGTTTGCGGTGTTTAAAAATCTACGCTCACATTTTATTTTTTTGAAGCAGACCAAATCAATATCATTCCTTGAAATTTTCACGGAATTTTCTCCGCACAAAGAGGAAAAATCACAGAAATTTTCAAGACTGGATGTTAAGTAGTTTTTCATTTAAAAAATAAAGTATGACAGGAAGTCTGCGACGTCGCAAACCGAGATACAAGGTTTGGTAGTTTCACCGTCGATATTTGATAAAACATTTTTTTGACTCTTAACATGGTTTTACGACTGAAGTTGGTCTACAAACCTCTTAAAACTGTAATTGAAAATTAGTATTCATAGGGGACGCTTATAAAATATGTAATGCTAAAAATCTGATTTTTTTGCTCCTGTAACACATTCGTAACGCAAGAGCAACCCCTCCTCCTCCCTTACAGTGATACACTTATCTGTAACAATGGCAGATGTGAAAAATTACCTTTTCGAAACACATTCAAAAAACTGTTTTGGCATCGAGAAAATTTTGAGAAAATACTTGAGATGTGATCTTCGAGATCTGTACATTATGCCAGAGCTAAACATATTAAATTTTTATGTGAACAAAACAGTTTTTTAAGCTTGTTTCTAAAAGGTAATTTTTCACGTCCGCCATTGTTACATATAAGGCCTCATATATAAATAAGTTGTCACTAACCCTTGTGATCCAAGTTTATTCGACAAAGTCCGAAGTCTGTTAATTTCACATGGCCTTCAGCAGATATCAACATGTTGTCGGGTTTCAGATCCCTGTGAACGATGCCGTGACTGGAAGAAAAAAGACCAGAAAAATACAAAAGTGAATAATACGTACTGAAAGTCAAATATTCTTTTTTAAAGTATTACTTTCCTTGTTGAAATAATTAAAAAAGACAAAATAATTGATAACTAATCAGTATGCGCTCAATAGATTTGTGGAAACATCATGATTATTAGACTGAGCTAACCGAGTTCAGCCTAAATTCATTTGACGTTGCCTCACTTTCTCTGATGATTCATTTCTAAAACAGAAAATCAAGCAAATTTGAAACTTGAAATTTTGACTGTATGTTCTCCGTTATCTGGGTTAAATTCACCAAAGGTTATACAGTTAAAGAAATTCAGTACCTGGTGTAAATAGAACATGAGAGAAAAGTAGGCAGAGTGAAATGCAGTTGGACTACATTTTGCAATTGGGAACTACAATTGCTGGCTTAGTTTAGGCACATTGTGTATACCATTATTTTCCCTATGTACATACATTTTTTCACGGATGAGCTAGAAATTGTAGTTTCTAATTGCAAAATGTAGTCCAAATGAAGTTCCTTGCTATTTTTTTTACAATTAAGATGATTTTAATAAGAATATGAACAATCTAGGTACCCATGTAAATACTGCAAAGCTAAAGCTACTTCTGCTGTGTAGAACGTTGCCATTTTTTCTTCAAAGAATCCAAAAACACTGAGTAAAGATTTGATATCACCTCCTATCATGTACTCCATCACCTTAAAAACAAAAACAAAAAAGTATTGAAACAGCAATAATAACAGGCGAGTCTTGGAGATGGAGATAAAAGATTTGAATTATTTTAAAATTTTTACACCAGAAAAATTTTACCGTTTTTGCAAGTAAGATTTATTTACATACAGAAGAGATTGTTTTAGTAATGAGCAATTATGAGGTTTGACTAGTTTTTGTCAACCCATTACTTGTGCTGTGGCGCATCAATTTGTGGCCTTTCAGTCATTTAGATGATTTATGACCCCCCACAGGACCCAAAACTGAGTTCCTTACTAATGATTGACATTTGAGACTCAATTCTTAAAAAATCTTTAACTTTTCAGATATTTGCTGTTTCCTCTTTATTGAATCAAAATAAACCATTTTCACTGGCTTTTTGGTTTGGTTAACATACTGGTGCTTTGGCCTTTACTTAATTTCAATCATTTCCAAAAATATTAAATTTGTAGGTTTCTGAGAAATTTATCCCAGAAAATACAGTGGAAATCGGATACAATGACTCTCTAAGGACCGGCCTGTTTTGGTCGTCATATCCGATTGTCGTTATAACCGATGCACAAATACACTAAGTTAATGGGAAGTCAATCCCGGGTACGACCAAATCGCTCGTCGTTATGACCGATATGTCCTTAAAAGCGATGTCGTAATATACGATTTCCACTGTACTCCAATGCCTTTAATGTGAGTGTATTTTAGTGTCCTTCAAAATAAACTGTGCTTTTACCAAGTTGTTTCTTCAATGAGCCAAGATTTCTGCTGTGGGTATGGTCACCCATTTTAGATACTGTCTCATGTCAGTTAAGCTGAACCAATTCTGCCGAAGTTCTGAGGAAACTTAGCCTCACAACAAAGCTTAAAATCAGAGAATCCTACAATTTACCTCAGGAAATGGAATTATTTGTCAGTGATATAAACTTACCAGGAAAACATGTGAGGCTGTTTGCAATGAGTAAAATAACTGTACGCAAAAAGGACTGCTGGATAATGCAAGAGCATTTCTTTCTGAAACAACTATCAAAGAGAGAAAATATTACTAATAATCATATATGTGCTCGAGAAAGACAGCTGACTTTGATACTGGAATTTTAAAGAAAAAAGTTAAAGATACTTGTAGAATTCAGCCATGTAGTATAGACTAATAAAAATAGCAACCTTAATCATTGCTGACATAATGTAAAAATAAAAGAGGTCCAAGATATCATTTTCAGTTTTTGATGCTAAATGCCTTTGACGCCTCTAAGAGCAACAATTCAAGATTTCAAGCCATAATTTACTTTATTCATTATAACCAGGCATTTGCAATTATTAGTCCCTGAGGCTGACAAAAATGAAAGCTCTATGTCTTCCACAAATTTGCAATTTAGCTTGTCCTAACAGTGAAATTCTCTTAGAGAGTTGAATTTTGAGATTGCTACCCACATTCTTTGCATTAGAAGATGAGGAATTGACCCTTTTTAGCTGTGGTTTGATTAATTCATATTATTTTTTTTCACCTTAAGGTCTGTACTGCCTGGCTCCAGGACAAATAAAACTATATGCTTCTTCGGAGGGAAAGAGGATCTCCTGCCTCTATTTTAACATTTACAGTGAAAACAAGAATCTCCATAAAGATATTTCAGGTACCTTAATTTAGAAATGCATAAACTTTTTCCGCATGCACCGTATTGTAAACTTCCCTGCAAGTTTGAAAAGTTGGGAAATCTATCTCAGAGCTTATTTAAGTTAGAAGATATGTTTCAAATGCACAAGTAATTGAGTATTCGAGACCATGCAAGGAGGAAAGCAAGCCTTATGAAAAAAATTTAAAGTTATGACAGTTAAAAAATACCTTGACTTATCATATTTTTGTGGATCATTTCAGATTTCTTCATGACTTTGATTGCATAGACTTTGTTACGGTTGGTTTTCTTGTGGCCGAGAAACACTTTTCTGGAAAAAAGAAATGAGAACTTTAGTGCTTGATGAATGCACAGATATGGAAATAGTTAATTCGATTTCAAAATAAAGGTAACAAAATATCACATTGAAATCTGCATATTTAGATTGGCCTGAGTAAAATTGAGGGCATTTTCAGGCACACACAGAATTTCAACATCAAATCCTGGTGAGGAATTTCCAGCCTAGAGTTCCGCATTGTTGTTTCTTTTAGGTTGTCACAAGTTTTTGTCTGCTGGTGCATCTCTTTTCACAATACTTACCCTCTACCTGTTGGTTGCAAATATATTGCCAACCATTGTTTTATGGTTTTTAGAATTTTCAATTATTTCTATGGATTCCACTTTAGTTCGCAATGCATACAATTCGGAAAATGCATACAATTTTAAGTGGGCACATTGGTAAGTAATTAAATATTACAGGAGAGCTTTCAAGGAATCAGCGAGCTTGATGATACATTAAGTACCAATGTGCTAACTTGCGATCATAAATATTTTTTATCAGGATTGCAAACTGATTCCGATGAAAGTTGTAGCCAAAGGGCATAAACGCAATACCATAATAAACTGATGTTTAATTTTCTGCTGGTAGCAATGTGTTTTGTGTCCTTGCAAGCTAGCAGTGGGTACACTATACTTGTTATTGACGTAAATGCTATCTTTGAAATTGACTAATACACTAAAAGACAGACGAAAGACTAAATGACTTAAAGAATCAAAATATCTTACCCAAAAGCTCCTCGACTAATAGGTTTGATGACTTCAAAGTCACTGATTTGAGGAGGCTGAAACAAGTTAAAAGATGAGGATTAAGATTGGCCGCAGTAAAACGAAGACCTTCTCATGAGGACAATGAGACTCTCATACAGAACAATGATGGACATGAAATCCAAGAAAATTCATTAAATTATACTCTGAATGATCCATGTAGATGAAATTTTTTCAAAAGATTCTATCTGACTGATGGCACTCTCAAGTGGTTACAAGACAAATCAGGATTGAGCCATGCAAATGTGTATTTTGAATAAAACTTTCAGATGGAAAATCAGTAATTATTATCAATCGAAAATTAATGAGGGAAATTCTCACCTTTGCACTGCTTGTAGTTTGAGAGACAATCTTTTGAAAAATAGAGCTCTCAGTGGACTGCGGAGGGGGCATGCTTTCGAAGTGTCCATTACTGAGTTTGTCAACTGCACAATTCATAGCGGGGTCCATCGTGACAAAAAAGAAGTATGGTGTATTTATAGTCGATTGTAGTTTGAAAGCACATGGACAGATAGAAACGAGAAAGAAATGACAGTAAAAAGTAACGAGAATGTACACCTGCCATGCGGTTGTTTACAAAATTTGAAAACAGTTACAAGTTGCCAGTGAGCAGCTGATAAGAGAAGCTCAGCAATCCAAAATTTCCGAAATCGATTGTGCGATCGGTGACTTTAGATGCCATCTAGAGGAGAACGTTGAGCCAGCTGTTGAGGAAATGACGTTCCTCGAAAGTATTTGCAGTCGCAAAAGACATCAAAAGTTAGTTATAATTTTGCCAAAAGTAATCAATTATCAAATTATGAGAGCTTTTTGCAAATAAATTATGTTTATCGCTAATTATTGCTTTGATAAGTTGAGGAGAACGTTCATCGTTGAACTCAACGGATTAAGAGCGATTATGGTCATGTGACTTATCAATCGATTGTAGGTGTCACCCAAACAAATCACGTGAATTGTGATGGCAAGGTCTCTCAAAGTAAATTATTTTGGAAATTAATTTCTACAACAAATTCCTCCATTTTCTTCACTTACATCTGGTGAGATAATAGTTTTTACCGCAAATTTTCATATGCCCAATTTCGTTTGATTAACTATCCCGCGTGTTTTGTGATAAGTGCTGGTGTGTAAACTCATAAAGTAGCCTTAACCTACTTCATTTTGACGCAGGACTTTTGCAGAAATCTCAAGTTTCTACTTCTAAAGCCATTCTTTTTCTTATTGCATTACGATCTGCAGTAATTTTTAATACCTTTTATCCTAGAATCCCCTTTTTTGACCCACCACAGGCTTCAAGTTTCTAACCTCACCTATCAGATTGCTACAAGCCAGTGATAAGGCCTGGCTCTTATCATTATGTTATTCAATTTTTTCTTCCTTTTATCAGTACATACATTTATAATAGTAAGCCTGTTCGAACAGAGATAGTTCTTTAATCATCTAATTTTTGTACCAGTATCTCAATATTTTCATCTGGTGCCCATGCAAAGCTAAATCGCTTTGAGTCGGGGCAACGCCTACTTATTCAACCGATACTACACAGTAATTACTTCTCCCTCGCTGTCGCAATTTTCTATTTAGCTTTTCGTCTTAACTGCATTATTATTGCTTCTATGTTCAGGCTCCTTTAAATCAAGTCACCCTCTAGGTAAATGTTTTCTAATGATCAGTTATGGAAAGGCATGTCCCGTTTGTTGAAGCCTTCACCTATCTGAGTACAAGGGGATCAATATTCACCATGATAATCAATGCATTTTCTTGTCTCTAACATTCTAATTTAATCCTTTTAATATTTATCATCAAGTATTTTCAATACCCTGACTATGACTACCATGGTTTTGTTTTGTTGTCATTCATTTCAAGGCTAATGCTACCAACACACATCATCAAATGGGTCGGTGGCAAGAAATGTTTTCACGGTTATTGTAGAGTTTTTCTGTCATAAAACTTCATGAATAAAACTAACAAGCTCAAAAAAAATTCCACATAGTTATTTCCAAGCGGAGCAATAGCTAATCAAAATCCTTCCATTCAAAAGCCATCAGTCAAGTCTACGTGCCCAGGTGATGTCTGAAAAAGAGTTCAGTCCATCAACAAACGCTATTTTCCTGCCTGGCTACCACCAATAGTGCCCATGGAGAATACTGTTTCCTAGAGGTCTCATTTTTGGCTTTTTCAAAAAAGTTTCTTTTTCATTTCGGGGTGAAAAAATTCCTTGAAGCTTGGTTCACTCCATACTTTCAAAGAATTAATTAAAAAATGAGTGCCTCTGACCCATTCAGAATCATATTCAGCAATGAAATATTTTTTGTTTTTATGCTCAGGAGGACTGTCCAATTGCAACTCCGTTTATGTGTTCTCTTTTAACGTGATCATTTCCTTTTTCAGGTTTTCAAATTTTTCTGCATACGAAATGTCGGAGTACTGGCTCATATCAGCTCCCGGAGAAAAAACATGCCAGCAAACATGGGATACACTTAACAACTACACCAGTAATGGAGGGCTTTCGGTCAATTATAAGTTTGCCATTCCAGATTTGAAGGTTTGTTAAATATTCGTTTGTTAAATAAATTGTGGAGGCTTAGAGAATTTTTTTTCCCCTCCGAAGGTTTTGAAATTTTCAACTCTTGTAGGATATTGCAACTTTGACACACATACTTAAACATCTAAAAGTTTAACTACAATTTGATCAGTCAATTTTTTCTTATATTTTAGTATTCAATTTTGTATTATTTTAGGTCGGGACACTGGATCAGCTCGTTGGTTTATCGGATGATCTTGGTAAATTGGACACTTTTGTTGAGCAGGTTTCTCACAAAGTAGCTTCGTATCTGGGTGAGGTGCTCGAAGATAATCCTGATAAACTTACAGAAAATTTACTCGCCAATAATGGTAAGCAAGTTTTGCTTTTTATCATCTTAAATTTGAGGGATGTTAATAACAAAGGCAGAGGTAGATGGAAAATTACAAAACTTTTCGTGTTCAGATTTTCACAAAACAAATAGTACACAACTGGTACTCTGGAGTTGATCAAATATTTCTCAAGCAACTTAGATTGAGCTTGGCGCATGGGGTCTTATGAAGGGAGGAGGCAGATTCAAGTCTACGCTCATGCGAGCCTTCCATTTAAAGAAAAAAATAAAAATATTAACATTTTCCAAAGAAACTATATTTTTTCAGCAATATTTCAGGTTTTCTGCATTATTTGTAGAAAAAATTTGGGGAAAGGTCCAGGGTGTCTACAAGTCCGGAATTTCTAGAAATAATACTGATTATTTAAGTGTGGCCCGGAAGTACGGAAAACGTGCGGAAATTCCGCAAGAAGGTCCGGAATTTTTGTCGCAATTTGAGTGAGAAATTCAATTTTTTGAAATTTTTCGAATTTTGTCGAATGGTGGTACTGAAAAAGTACTAGATTTTTTCTGCTGAGGAGGTACTGAATAAGTACTGTAAAAGTACTGATTTTTGGCCAGCTTGTTTTAGTAGACACCCTGAGGTCAAGCCAGCTTAACGTGATTCAGCCGTCATAATGATAGGTTGGTATTGGGGTGGTTTACTTAAGGGGGTCAAAAAGTTGGCCTAAACGACCTATGTGCTACTTGAACTCTAGGCTGTCTCATGATGAGTTAAAACCTGTGTGAGTAAGTATAACATATTAAATCACACTCTTCCTCTTTCAGTGGACCTGGCGACTTATATCACGAAATTCCAATGGGATATGGCAAAGTACCCCATCAAACAGTCTTTACGTCAGATAGCAGACATTATTAGCAAGCAAGTCGGACAGATAGATGCAGACCTCAAAACCAAATCAGCTGCCTACAATAACCTGAAAAGCAGTCTTCAGAATATGGAAAAGAAACAAACGTAAGCCTCATGCAAGCGTCAAGTTTTTTTACATCAAAATCAATAAATTTAAATGCATCAAATTGTCCCTATCATTAAAAAGCAGATCCTTAGGTAACTTTGCTTAGCTTGCAACAAAATTCACATCTAATTGGCATTTCGAAAGGGACCATTTAATGTATTTACTGTAGTACCCAGTCAGTAAATCTTTCAATAAAATGAATTTTTGGAATTGTGGCAGAAACGCTCTTCGCTTTTATGGTAAAAAAAATTGTGTCAGTTGATGAAAAATTAATCAAACGATCAATGAACAACATTCTCTATCTGAATATTTCTTTGCTATCTTGAGAATTTGTTTTTTTTGAAGAATCTAAGGTTAAAACATGATAGTTGTAAACAAGCCTGAATATATATTAGCCCAAGTTCTCTTAAAATTTTGCTCTCAGTCTTCTCTTAGGGCAAAAATCCGATTCTTTAAATACTTAGGTCAACTGGGTCTCAAGGTAATTCTCAAAGATTTTTCTTTGAAAATGTGTATTAAAGCTGCAACCACACTAATGCAGGATAATCATTTTAAAGATAATTTCGAATTATAATTTTTAAAGTTCTCAAATTTTTCTGCCATTTCATTGATTTTTAAATGGTTTGTGTTTGTTTTAGTGGAAGTTTATTAACAAGGAATCTAGCTGAGCTTGTAAAGAAAGAGGACTTCATCCACGACTCAGAATATTTAACCACATTGTTGGTAGTTGTTCCAAGGTAAAGTGAATTGAATGTATGTTTAACCTCTGTAACCTACTCCAGGCAAATTTTCAAGGGTTTAAATGTAGCAACAATATTCACTTCGCCATTTATAAGGCGTGGAGGTAAAATTAGATTCCTTCTCACTTATCATATGCAAATGGAGAAAAGTCAAAAGTTACTCCAGTTGAATTTGCTCATGAAAAAACTAACCTATCCATCTTTTCAAATTTGAGTTTTTTTTATCCTCAAGATTCTTAGAGACCAGATAAAATGTATCTTACAAGGAGATGCAACTGAAAATGTTTCAAAGACTTCCCGTGAAAGTAACGATTTAAATAAAACCAGAAATAAACCAAGCTTTAGGGGGTGGTAAAGTATCGAAACTTAACTTTGACTCCATTCTTTTGTAACGTTATGAGCCCACAATTGATTTTCTTTCAGGGCAAGCTTTGCTGAATGGCATGCAAACTACGAAAAACTCACCGACATGATTGTTCCACGTTCCAGTAATATTGTTTCTCAAGATACGGATTATGGTTTATTCACAATAACACTCTTCAAAAAAGTGGTTGATACCTTCAAAATTAAAGCTAGAGAACATAAGTAAGTCAAAACTTTTGATACAGTAAAATTGTAATTTACCAGTACAGTTTGCTCTTCTAAATTACTTAGAGAACAAAGTGTAAATCTGATGGTTCCTTCTATCTTTCTCCTGTTTTCTTTCCTTGAGAAATTCGCATGATTTCCGTAACTCTCGTCTAATCTTCATAAACTGCTTTCATCTTTCCTGATTCTTGCTGCATTTTGAAAAATTTTGGTTCTGCTTCCTTAATTGTGACACTATTGATTTTTCTCTTCATTAGATTTATCGTACGAGATTTTGTGTACAATGAAGAGGAACTCGCTGCTGGAAAGAATGAAATCACAAAATTGGTTACGGACAAAAAGAAGCAGTTTGTAAGTTGAATCTTCTCTTGAATATGTCTCCTCACTACCCAATTTCCTCTGACATTACCTCAAAGGAAGAAAAATGAAACGTTGTGGCTCCATCTAGTCTTTGCTAAGCAACATAAGTTCATCTAAAAGTGATGGAGTACTAGATTTTAAGTTTATAAACTTTCATAGTAAATTGCAATTTATCGGATTGATCTTCTGGTCCCTTCAAGGGGGGCAAGCTGCTTCAAAGAAATGGATTCCCTGATTTTACAAATTGATTAATCAGTCCTGTGAAATTTGATAAATTGTGGTCTTACTGTAGCTACAAAACAATGCAGTCGCTTATCTGACCCAATTCAAATCTCAGGATTTTATGTTGAATAAAAAGAATAAACTAGCTCAGTTAAGTATGCTGTTGCGGAATGTCATTGCCTAAAAGAAAGAGAGAGAGTAGGGAAAAGACAGTTCGTCACCTTCCAGGCAAAGTATCACAAGCGCCATGCGACGTTTAAAAATTTCCGCCGCCATTTTATTTCTTTACTGAGAAATCGTTGGTTGAATCTGTTTGGAAATTTCACTAAATTTTATCGGCAGCACAAAGAAAATTCAGTGAAATCTTCGGACAGCTTCGTTGAACAATATCTCTGTAAAAAAATAAAATGGCGGCGGAAATTTTGAAACGTCGCATGGCGCTTGTGATACTTAGCCTGGAAGGTGACGAGTTGTAGACATCATGAAAGAGAGTTTTTATAAAGTGGCAAAACAGCAAAGTCTCCAAATCTTTTTCAGGTTCTTGTGGAGTGTCTCTCATCGTTTGTGTCTTGAATAGCACATATTTTGGACAGGTTTTTTTTTTTTTTTTTTTTTTTTGTTCAGTTTGACAAAATTTTAATAAACCTGTTCCTATGCTTCAGGGTCCTCTGGTTCGGTGGTTGAAAGTTAACTTTAGTGAATGTTTTTGTGCTTGGATCCATGTCAAAGCACTCCGTGTCTTCGTAGAATCAGTACTCAGGTTAGTAACCATTTTTTTTTAAAATGGTGATATAGAGGTCCCTTCATCAGTTTTCAGCAAACTCAACTTTGTTGCTTGTCCCATTAAAATTAGTCTAAATAGAATTTTGTCTCACATGTTATACCAACAGACACATAAAATTCTTCCCTTCTAAATTTTTACAGGACGGATCCTTAAAATGAGCCTATAAACTGCTCCAATCCAGAAAGCAGAAAAACTGGCCCCGAAAAGACATTTCAAAATTTTGAATAATAATTAAATGGTTTTTTTAAAGAACTCTGACTTTCCAAACTTAGCCTAGATTCAGGATCCTTGACTCTTGAGCCCTGATTTTCTCTTCATAATTTTAAGCTGACTTTGATACCCCCTAGTAAGAGGTTGGAAGTAATTTTGAAAAGGGCACATAAGTGTTCTCAATTACAATAAGAGACAAATGATGTAAATTACTTTCCCCTCATCTAATCATTGTCAAGTGAAAACTAACTAACATTACTGGGCTAAGTGCCAAAAAACTGATTTTGAATCATTCACTCAATTATTTCTGATAACTATAGCAGCACATACTACTAACAGCATCTTCCGCTCATTATACTCATTATTCTAGTGTTAGTGGCTCTTAACCCATTATGCAGTGTTTATCCTTGGTGCCTAGTATGAAATGCTAAGTCTAACTCAATTTTCGATTAACCCTTTGTTGCACGGAAAAAAAAAATTTCATTTTTTTAAAAAAAATNTACGCTGTAGCCATGTCATTTTGTAAAAATGAATGGTCATACCATTTAGCAATGATAACCAGAGGTATATTGGACCCAATGATTCAGTAGTTGAGTCCGCTCATCACATTGGCAGCGCTGTAAAAATTAAAAACCGAAGTGGTATGACATGTATACCACCGTGCAACAAAGGGTTAAGTAGCATTTAGTCCATTATTTATTATGGGTTTTCAAGTACATGGTACCTTCCCTATGGGTTTCTGAGTCTTCAGTGGTGTTTACCATTCTTTATCTGCTACCTCAGAAAGAATCTTAATTATACTGTAAATGCACTTGCTGTTAGATAGGTTACAACAAAGTTTAAATAATGCGACGTTAAACTGATGTTACAAAATTTCTCTGTGATACAGGTACGGACTGCCAGTTAACTTCCAAGCAATGCTGCTACGTCCCAACAAGAAGAATACCAAAAGATTGCGAGACGTCCTTCAGCAACTGTATGGTCATCTGGACAGCAGTGCCCAGCAAGGTTCTGGTGCTCAAGATGTAAGTTAAAAAACTATGACCTAACTTTATCGACTCGTTTAATTTTCATTCATCATCTGTAAAAAGAAATAGTTGCCTAAGGTGAAGAGAGCTGATACCGAAGAAGAATTTTTTCTCTGAATGGTGGACGGGATGTCTTGCTTTTTTGATGTTCTTGCAGAAAAACTGTAACCGCAAGTATGATATCAATGTTCTGCTATTTTGAACTTGAACCAGCGGCCATTTTGAAGAGTTAATAGATACCGATCTGTAATTTGTGCCAAACTTTTTCTTTCTCTATATCCTATCCAATAACGTATCCCAAAACGAGTGTCCCTGTTTGAAATTCGAAAGTGACGACCCCTCTCAAAAAATTTGCCCGTTTTTATTTGAGGGCACCTCGTCCAAACCGCATGTCAATATCTGCATCCATTCTTGAGGTATCAGCAAGTATCCATACTTTTTGCATACCTTGTGTAGATAAAATAGCTTAGTAAATATCTAGAAATTTTTGTTGTTAACGATTACATTCTCTGTCTCTTTTAGGCTGTCGATATTCCTGGTCTGGTCTTCGGTCAGTCGGACTACTACTCTTACGTTTATTATAAGATCAACATCGATATGGTCGACTCAAAATGAAAGTGAAAGAACAAACATCCAAAGAAAGAAAGGTTAAGTGGGCTATTGATTCAGTGTACTCTCCTGTTTTCCGCAATAGTATTTAATGCCATTTACGTTTACGACCCTGTATCATTTCTTTATTTGGAAAAGCAGTCTCGAGATTTCAAAAAGTTGCCATTAATATGAAATCTGTGGCACTGTTGTAGGCTTGTTCTATAAATACTGAATTCTGTCGTCTATGATTAAATCAATCTTTGTTTGTACCTTTGAACAATAGCCATTGCTTACCGCAGTCTGTAAATATTCCCCTCATCCAAGAGTATGAGAAATGAACACAGAAGTTCTAAATTCAGAAATTTTAAAGTGCGCTAGAATGGTATCTATCAGCAGCTATTTTCAATTGATTTTTTCAGAAAGAGAAAAGGATTTAGAAATTTTCTGCATTTCTCTGGACCTTCTTGGAAAAGTTCCGTACTTGGAGACAAAAATATTGAAAAGGTGCCAATGTTTTATGGGTTAAAAATTGAAAGTTTGATTTCCTCTCTTTCTTTTTTTTTTAAGTTCTTTAGGCCTTCTTAATATTTTTTGATGGTTGATTCACTAAAAAGAGGCTCCAACTCGAAAAGGGGAGGGCGCTCTTTTCGAAAACTTCAATCATGAAATGAATACAAAATATGTCTGGCTCTTTTGATTTTTTTTCTTAGGAGATTAAAATTTTCCAACTTTTTTGCACGCTTGTCATAAGTAAATATTAGTTTCAAAAGTAAGCGTGAGCTGCAAAACTATGAAGTCCCTGATTGAATGAACTGCAGTTAAAGTTCCATTTCTCTATCTTTTCAATTTTTTCAAACTTATTATTTATGCTCTAATTTTTTTCATCTTCCTCTTTCCTCATAAAATGTTCACTCATTAATCAGAACAATGCGTCATTCAGAGCCTCTGCTGGTGCTAGCTCTAAAAGTCTTCGAGACATTGAGTCCATCAGCAAGAGTGTCTAAAATATTTCAGTCATCAGATTGTTGGTAAGCAGCTGATACTCCCCACTGATCAAACAAGAAAAAGGTCATTTCTCAACATTGTTCAATGTTTTCAATGTGTTGTTTTTGAATGGCTCTAAAGTTACCAAAATTCTCATCGGAATTATGCATTTATATTATTTCATCCTTTGAATTTCGTTTCGATTGTATCTCAAAACATTGAGGTTAAATTGCCTTACTTGTTAAGTGAATGCCCCGTATCTTTTATTTATGCCTTTTCGTCCTTTGAAATTGTTGCAGTCTGTGGTAAAATGTTTGATCGAGTATTTTTCTGACTGGGTTGATTAAAGATGCTTCAATTCAAGCCACTGTCTACTTTTTTGATTTCTAAAGAATTGATCATTGGTTTTTAGTTACCCCAAGTAATCGTTGATCATTTTTGGGTGCACCAGGCACAGTACATTTGCAATTATTGAAGCGTCTGTCACAAAATCGAGCTATTTAAGTGCACTAAAAAAAAAAAAAAAAAAAAAAACTGTGAATTGTCCTTCATGCATGACAGTGATCCCAGGCTCCTCCTTTTCATTATTTCAAGGTGATGTTGTACCTTTCCACTTAGAAAGTTTGGGAATGAATCAGGCATATGCCTTTTTGGTCCCCCACTCAAAAATACAAGTTTACTTATATCCAAAATTGGGCTCTGTTAGCGGTTCTGCCAAGTTGTGACGAGCCCTCAACAATTAAAATTGTTTGAGACTGTGAGGAATAACATAGACTCATCTGTTCAAGAAACTCTATTTTCAAACCCAAATTCTATAGTTTCTCTACTTTTCTAGATTTGTACCTCAGTTCCCATCTGTAAGAGGTTAGATGCTTGTCATAACATTACAGTAGGGCATTGTGAAGAAGGAAAAAATTGTCTTGTCTAATTTTCAAACTTTCTAAAGGAAAAGTTATCCTTTATATTGATGGTTGTTCAATTAGATTATCGTAATGGTACCTGTACTATTTAATTTTACCCAGTCACTGAAATACGCCTTTCATAATTAAACATTTTCTTGTTTCCATAACCGTGATATTTAACTCAGTTAACTCCCTCAAGTTAAGTATCAAAGAACTGCATGTGCTCCCAATTTTTTCTAGAAGTATCAGTTTTTTTTTTTTAATCTTCCAATCGGATTGTTTAAAACTCTTTGTTAACTCCCTAGAGTTCTTCTAATGAATTATACACCCAATAAAGGTGGTCTGGTTTAAGAAGGTCCCCCCTCCCCCTTAAATTCTATCCAATCAAAAATTGGTGGACATTAGAGTGTTGGCAAATTTTTTTATCTCAAACATTATTGGACAATAAGTAAATCCTGCTTTTGTTAAAAATGTAGTGATGCAGGCATTGAGTGTAACGTCATTTTACTACCAATGAAATTCAGTCTCTCCTCGACTCATAACAGATCAATTGCTCTGCCACTTGAAATAAGATCTCACTGTCCTGGAGGAGATAAAAATAATTTTTTAAGATACAATCAGACTCAGAACTCTCAATAAAAGTAAAATAACCCATGAATATAAGATGCAATAAAAGTGTAACTCAACTGATGCTTTCGTATCTGAGGTATATCAGATTTTCTTGTAACATATTTTTCCCTGCCCAGATTATCTTGTCCATACGACCGTACATCTTTGCAATTTGGGGGAGAATTGGGAGTACAGTCTGAAAAATATCCTCTTAATTATTGAACTTGAGGCTTGTAAATGTAGTGTAGGATAGTAGGCCTCCATGCATTCCAAAATAAGTATTTAAGTCGAAAACTGTAAAGTTAAGGTTACTTCTAAGAAAAGTGCTTATCAGTTTTGATCGCCACTTGTATACTTTTTTCTTTTTTGCTATGTTTTAATTTTAAAGTACGTATTTCTTTCCCTTTCATTTCTGACCAGCACCGACAGCTGCTCTGCTAGAGAATTAAACCTTGAGAAAACATGAGAGCAACAAATTTTCAATTCAGAGCTATCGTTTCACATGATGTTTCCTTGATTTTTAAGGATACCTTATCCTGAAAAAATTTACCATCAAGAAGAGGTATCACTCCTTTGTGGCGACCGTCTCAGTTTGATCATAGTAACGTAACATTTGTATCTGGCATTTTTGAATGATGCAGGACATGTATAAAACATTATGGATCACTTCAATAATTATCAACCTTGTTGAAATATTTTTCCTGTTTTTTCCAATAAACTATTTTGTACAGGATGAAGAACAAGGGATAGGTGACTGCTCTTTTTTCACTCTCAGTTAACATAAATCAAATGTTGTTAGTTTTGTTGTTGAAATTATTTGAACTCTCCAGCACTAAATGAAGCTGTTGAATTATTCTTAACTAATTTTTTGTTATAAAAATGTCAAATGAAGCATAGACCACCGCGCTATAATTTATGGAGCACACATAAAATCGCACAAAATAAAGTCTACAAAGGAGGCAATAGGATCAAATAAGAAGAAAAGTGTGGGAAGAGAAAGAATAATGGAAATTCTTGGGCTGAATGTGGATTTTAGTAATCTAAAAAGTTAGAGGAAGAGATCTCTGTTGTATCCAATTTCTATTAAAAGAAATTGTAAAAATATTTTTTCTCAGTCAATTAATGGTCAAAGGGTTATTTTCAAGGCCTCTGAGTTCTTTGAAAATAGTGCATTTAAGAATCTAATGAAATAGTGTTGTCAGAATAACTTATTTCCGGCTTGGCTTGCGGACTGAAAAACAAGTTAAATTGATTTCATAAACATCTTTCCTTTTAGGAATGTGATTGTTATATTGAAAAACTGCTTAATTCAGTTTATGCTGTCTTCTCTCTACTCCTCCTAAAGATGAGCAGATCCATTCCTTGCCTCGGAAATCCAGAATTTTATTTCATGGTCCCTATTCCTCCTTGATTGATGTTTCAGTGCACATCGAACGGTGAGTTCTCCACGCCTTTAAAATTAGGAAGCTGGCATTAAATACTAATCTCCGCAGTTTATTTTCCCTAGCTTCATTTGACATTTCAAGTTGTTTCTCTATGTTATGTATTAAATAAGAAAAATGTATTACCTAGTTGTAAAAACGTATTATGTATTTTATAACTGTATGATTGAAACGATTAAATTCTATTTTAATGACATCTAGGAGTTATGATTTTGGTTATTCAGGCGTAGTGCCACTTAATATGAAATGTAAATCCAAAAACAAACTGAGGGGTTTCCTAAATTTGCGGAATTAAACCTATTGTAATTTAATGGCGCGAACATCATAAGAACATGATTTCTTGCCTTTCCGAGAAAAGACGATTGATGGAGCCAATTTCAGTTTGATAAGCAATCCAAAACCTAAGGTCAAGGGAAATAAAAAATTATCACTTGTGATTCACAAGTTGTGAAACACTTAGGAGGCTCTGGTGATTATAATGCAAGGAGTACATGATTTATTCAAAAACTCAGATGAAAAATGGGATTTAATACAGTGAATAAAAAGTTAAAAACAAACAATAATTCATCAATGATTGGCAAAAAAATTTAAAATGGAAAGAGTAGAAAACAAATACAAATATAAAAAGTTTAAGAACTAAAGGAATAAAAACAAAGATGCCTCACGACAGAAACTAACAGTTTCGTTACTTCAAAATGTAGTAAATACAACATAATTATTAGGCACAACTTAGAAAAAAATGGAACTAAACTGGGTGAGTAAAAATTTAAAAATAATGATTCATGAATGATCGAAACAATAAAAATGATAAAAAGAGCGGAAAACAAAAATAAAACGTTTAAGACTAAAGAAATAAAAATAAAAATTGCCTCAGGACAGGAACGGTCTCTCTTTCAGATTATAAGAGTGCGGTAACTTTAAGTAACTTTTTAAAGAAGCAGGGTTCAACAGATCCTGCGCAAGCACACATTTTAGAGTCTGGTTTTGGAACAGACTTTGAAAACGTCAAACATTTGTTTGTCAGGATAGATTGATGATGTCGTTTAGTTCTTTGTTCGATGACATGATGCTGCTTAGGACACAGGCCTGTAAAAAGCAATGACAGTATATTTAAGAGAGCTGAATTACACAAATCTTAGGGAATTAAAATTCATAGATCACAAATTTTAGGAAAATTACGATAATTCTAATTAACTGTATTGATAGGCCTCTAGACAATGTATGAATTAAAGCACAACGTTACATGTTTCCTTTTCAAAATATCACAAGGAATACGAATCGCACAACAGGAAGTCCGAACATCAACTCCTTAACAAGACAAACGAGTAATCAACTGTCATTGGTTAAAAGGCAAAAATACAAAATACGTAATTTGTATGATAGAACTTCCATTTGATCTGAGTTAAAAAGACTTGTTAATATCTTGTTCCATAGTTGATTTGATTTGTGTATATTGTTTTCTATGTAAGATTTTGAAGAGAAAACATGCGGCATTTTCTTCTTCTTCAGACCTTGTATAGTTGTCTAGTGGCCCATTATGTATTTCAACAGAGACGTAACTGTTAATATTAGCTAATGGCTGTGTGTCCTTAGTATCACAGTGTACAGACCCTTTTCTCCGACAGAGGCCTCAATTTTGCCCCACGAAAAAGTTCAGATATTCATCCTTTAATAAGTTTTTAAAAGTTTTAATCACTATTGCCAATCATAACCCCCCCAAGCCCTTAAAATACACTTAAACTGCCATTTTTTATTTACTTTTTGATAAAATATGAACCCTTTTGTTTGGTGAATTGCTGGTGAAAACAGCAACCAGCCAATACAAGAACACCTCACCTTTAAAGTTTTTCTTTCGAGGCAATAATGATCAAAGAGATTCCACTAAAGGAGAGAAAAAAAGAAACGCTTACCTTTGCCTCCTTAATTTCTTCAGTCCAATTTGCATCATGGATTTTGGGAATTACAGCAGTGAACAATGTAGTGATCTTTTCAACATTTTCTCGGAAGATCTTGAGGACGCTGGCAACATTCACTTTTTCTCCTTTGTCTCGCCATGAATCATAATCGGTAGCCATTGCGACAGCTGCATAACACAAACCTGCTTCTTTTGCTAACACTACCTGTCAATAGAAAATGTCAGAATTACACCTAGGAATCATAGTTTTTGCAATGTTCTATTTAAACATACAACAGACTACTCCAAACTATCATCAACAAAGGGCGGCAACTCAGAGAGACTGGGAATTATGTTTCTCACGAGATTCAGAAGACAATGTTTAAGATTTGAGGTAAGTGTAACTTCCAGATCATGCAAACGCTTTTTTCTGAAAAAAAATTTTGATTATCTTAGGAAACAACAAAAATGGAGATAAAAAATTAAAAACGGAACGTTTAAAAACCATTAGGTTGGCTTTTTTTGTTCTTTGATAGAGAATTTTTTTGGAAGAGTTAACAGCAAAAATTGTCTTTTTCATCTCTCGTATAATCTTATGAGCTTCTTTTCGTACCCACATTTTGAATTTTGAAGTTTTTAAAACTAATTTTTTAGAGCTAACTGTTTTTTAAACAAAGTTCGTTTCAAAGATCTGAGGTCAATTTTACCAAACACAGAAATTCAAGTATATGTGCACAATTTGTATGATTTGAAAAAATTAGAATAGTCAAAATTGAAATCAGTCGGTGTATATTTGTATTTTTCTTCATTTGTTTTTGTTTTTGTTTTTTTTTTATTTTTTGTATTTAGTGATAGATCACAAAATGACGGATTACAACACAAAGTTCAACGATTAAATCAAGTAAGAAAAAAAGTCACCTCAGGAACCAATGTCATATTCACAAGATGAGCATCCCATGATCTGAACAAGTTGCTTTCAGCTCGACTGGAGAACCGCGGACCTTCGATTGTGACAGCTGTCCCAGAGGGATGGCACTTGAAACCCAACTCTTGAGCGGTTTCGATTAAAATCTTCCGTGTTTTATTGCAAAAGGCAGGCTCCATTGGGACGTGGCACACAGATGGGTTCAACTCTGACCCATCAAAAAATGTTTGCACTCTGTGCTGCGTTCTGGAGGAAAATAAAGGAACCAACTTAGAATAAGGAGACAATGCTTCCAGTTTTAATTTATTCTCTTTTCTTTTTTATCAAATTGATCATCACATTTAAATTTCTAAATTCTGGCTGCAAGGTTTGAGTTCCCAATTAAACTCAGTTCTAGCAGCCCGCTCGTGCCGATAATGTTTTAGCCTATGTTTCGTTTCCATTTTATTTTAATTTTTTAGTAAGAACACCTAGGTTGAAATTACAACAGCCAAGGTGTTGGGTGTACTTTTATGAATTTAACTTTGCCAATCTTTAACAAAATGGAATTCATTAAAGTACATCACCTCTGCTATTGTAATTTTAACTCATTGCTTGCCAAATTTTACAGGTGTAATAATTGTAATACATCTACATTCTTCAACTACATATTTTACCTCATAGCTTAATTTCTTTGTAATTAGGTAACTTTTAGCGCTTCACTAATGTGCGTATTCATGCCGAAAAGTGCAAGAGGACTAAAGATGGAATTATTAGTTTTCAAATACCTACGCAATGCTTAATGGTATTTTACAACCAATATACATCAGGAAAGAAAAATAACATATGCCAACTTCAATAAAATGGTAAATTGTCAATAGTTTGTCTTCGATTGATATACAACCAAGACACCACTCAAAGATTAGGGATATTTCATTTTTAAGAGTTGAGGCATATGGTGAAGTATATGACAAAGACATCAAAGTTTACTTGTGTGGAAACATATTAGTTAATCTTAACAGACCATCTAAATAAGTAAAAGCGACACTAATGGTCTTGTATTTGACTTAAAGTGATAAGAGATGTGGATTTCTCATCTCCTACTGGAAATTGTAGTCCAGTTACTTAGACCTTAGAGAAAAGGGAGGTTGTTTGGAGGTACCTGTCGATAAATGAGTCGACAACAACTAGATCTCCCGGCACAATTTCTTCTTTTAATGAACCAGTGGCAGTAGAAACAATCACATGGGTGCAGCCAACTTTTTTCAGTGCATAAATGTTAGCTCGATAATTGACGTTACTTGGGTTTATGTTGTGTTGACGACCATGCCTGCAAGAAAATAAATACCAAGAATTAAGGTATGATACAATATAGCAAACTCAGGTAGTTGGTTTAAGTAATGCGGATTTTATTATTATTATTTTAAACTAAATATATAAAATATTTATATTAATTTATAGAGTTACCTATATTATATTTCCGATGTTTTAAATTGTTTTTTTAAAGTGTCACTGTTTGATTTAGTAAAAAAAAAAGCACACTGAAAGCAAAACTAGAAAAAGAACTCTAATGGTCTTCAATTCTTGACAGTCTGTATTATTAATTTTTGTGTACTTAAAAAGAAGGAAAAAAAAGTCACCTGGCTAGAAGAACACAAGGTTTTCCTCCGATGGTCCCCTCGATCAAAACATCTGATGGTTTCCCGTAAGGAGTGATAATATATTTTTCTACAGCATTTTCTAAAATCTTCGGATTGTTCAAGCCAGAGCCACCAATTATTCCAATCTAGAAGGAGAAAAAAATGGATTAGAAAAAAATTGGAAAAATGTTCAGGAAAAACTTGAGCTGTACAAAGACGGAACTTGTTAGCTTGAATGATGTTACTTCATTGAAATAACTTAAAATCAAAATATATAAAAAATACAATAATAAAAACCGGCGCTCCGCTTCGCTCCGTGCCGGTTTTTGGGAGGGGCTCCACCCCCCTCCCCCAGCCTCTTGAGACGCGCGCGTCATGTTAGTCGTTTTTCCTCTTCTTCAAGTGACCCGCGCATTCACAGCGGGAGGGAAAGTGTATTTCCCCAAGTGGGAGCGAGAGCCTTACATTTACCAATATTTTCAATTTATTTTTTCCAGTCATTTTCTGTCGAATTTTGTAAATAGCTATAACAGTTAAATGGGTGAGATTTTGTCCAAAACCTCTCTTCCCCCGACCCACTGTGCGACAAACAGTTGTTCAAAACCATCCTCCCCCTAACCCACTGTGCGGCCCCGCTACGGCCGGCTCCCCTCATGCCACGCAACCCCCGCCTAAAACGTTCAAAGCCCAACATTTATAAACGGCTCAGCCGATTTCGCTCAAATTCAATAACAAACCAGTCCTAGGGCTAGCCTACCACCCATACAAATTTTAGCTCAAAATATTCATTTTAACTCGAGCTATCGACACGGGGATTTGAATGCCATGTATTTTCTTCGGAAATTGCACTAAAATAACTATGATTCCCACTGAATTTTCATAATCAAAAAATAAGAAAAACTCTCTTAGGGGTAAAGGTTAAAATCTGAGACACCTGAGATGGCTAACATCTCCTCATTCATAAAATTTCAGAACTCAAGGATGCAGAGACCTTTTTATCACACATAAATGTTTTCATATTTTGCAGTTCCGATCACTTGACATACTGGTAAGTCATCCTACAGTGCCTCTCGGAGACTTTACAAAAAAAAACCATTGGGGGGAGGGGGGATAGAGGGTGAGAGAACATGTTAGGGGAAGAGAGAGCATAGCCGCGAGAGCGAGACTAATAAGCAATAAAGGTACTTAATGACTGGATGAAGAAAAAACGAAAGAAAAAATTGGAGAAAAAAAGGGTACCTAACTACGGCCAGTTACGAAAACGGAACGGGCATAGAAAGATTCATCTGAATATATGAGTAAAAACCTGCCTTGATTGGATGCTTCATAGCGGTAGAGCTGTCAACTTTCGGCGAACTTAGAACTTGACGAACACACTGGTGGTAGACTGCAGGCTCGAATCCGACTAGCAAAGAGCGGGAATACGCCCCATAGACAGCCGGATCGGACAGCCCAAGTTGGCCGCAAGCTCGGGACGCTAGTGATGACGTAGAAGCTCGTAGACACTAACTATACGAGCTTTATCTCGCCCTCTTACGTCACGCCAAAGTCTGCAACAGAGAACAAAGTCCCATCGATCAGTAAGTATAGGTCATTGCTTCGATCATATTGCATTGAACATGAACACCCACTGCTGATGCTAACGGCCGTGTGCGCATCATAGACGTTCCTTAAACAGCTCATCTCCTTGGGGACCTCCATTATGATTAATATAGTGACTGAGGGCAGGTTTGAGGAGAGCCTTTACAAAGCATCATAAAAATGACACTTTTAACGAATCCCGAATAAAATTAAAACATGGGAACTTCGGAAACATACCCTTGCGAGGGGCTATGATGACTACTTATTTATACAGGAAATTCTTTTTCAGGGCGTCTAGTTGTTTTTCATTGCGGGGAATCCTGATTTTCGACTGCTAAATCCTGATTTTATAATTTTTAAAAATTCTGATTTTTTGCGGAGGCGAATGTAACTTCACAAAAATAGCTCGATGAAAAATTCCGATCGGACGGTCGACTTTTCTCAAATCCTGATTTTACGACCGATTTTTCCTCAAATCCTGATGGAATCGGGAAAATCCTGATGCTAGACACCCTGCTTTTTGAAGAGAATTGACACCCCTCCTGCCTCATCCTTCATCTGGCATCTCCTCATAATTTCTCGAGACTACGAACAACATGTTCCTATCAATATGCACTCATGCCCTTGATCTTCTTTTTATTTACCTCATTTTAATTTTTTTTTTATTTTTTAAAGGTATGGCAATGAGGACGCGGAATCTGACACGACGGACAGAGGGGAAATCTGTGACACGCGTTTTACATGGGAGCGGCAACTATAGGGAGCGGAGAAGACGACGTGGAGTCCGCTAGAGTACCTAAGTATAAACAGGAGAGTATTGCCATCTCTGTGCCACTCCCTGATTGGTTCATCAGTTTTAGGCTATCATGGAGTTCAAAAGTTGGACCAATGTAAACAAATCCGACCCAGAGGAATACGTATTATCGGCTGAGAAATGAATGATAATCACACCCAAAGGTTAATTTTCGGTAAAAATATCCATTCAAGGTCGATCCGAACTCAGTACAGCAGTTGATAATAAAAAAAATTCTATCACATCCAAAATCATGACTACAACTTTACAGAACTTTGTGGCCATCTTGTTTACTTACATTGGGCCAAACTAGGAGCGGAGGGGCTGGGGTTTGTTTGCATTGGTCCACCTTTGGGGCTCCATGATAGCCGACCAATCAGAGAGCGGCACACTTTTTCTGTGGTAAAAGGATTGAGATGGCAATACTCTCCCGTTCACATGTACTCTAGTCGCCGGTAATCCAGAACTGCGCGAAAGGTCTACGAAAATATTTAAGGATTGTGCGAAAAAGGCACAAAGATTGCGCGAATAGAAACCTTAACACCTGCTACAGGAATGCGCGAATTTTAAAATGAAGTTAATTCAAGGTTACAATTGGAAAATAAACGCATTATTATGTCACGTTAGTGTGGGTTCGTTTGTTGAACAAATCATCGACGTCTCACCCTCTGATGATTAATGAAGTGATATGATTTGAATATTGGTCGAGGATATAAAGAACTTACCTAACTTTTCCCGGAAAAAATATTTACTCGAGAGAAACGAGGCAACGATGAAATGCTTATGCGGCGTCAAAATACAACACGGGCCTTAAAAGTTCTATTATTTGATGCCGCGATTATTGTAACGGGGGTTCGGACGATCGCGCCAAACAGTGCAGCCGGCGCGGCGTTAAACGTATTGGCGCCTGCAAGACTGCGAGAATACTTCACGCGTTGCGCCAAATAGTGCGGTCGGCGCACAGCCCATATCAGCGCCTACAAGACTGCATGAATACTTCTCGCATTGCGCCAAACGCAGTGCGGTCGGTCAGTTGGCCTGAAACGCATATCAGCGCCTACAAGAATGTATAGGAGTGGTGTTGGACTGCGAGTCATCATTTTTTACTTTCTGTTCAAGTTTTCACCATAATTAAACGGGAAATATGTATCCTAATTGAAACGATTCATAAACTCAGATGAGATTTAATTTTGTATTGGTTACATTAAAAGAAAACAGAACGAACGAAAACATCGCGTCGAAATTTTCGATACTTTTATTTGAGATCATTTAGGTAAATTCGCGAAAATTTTTCACAAAAACTGTGTGTAGCTTTATAAAAACATAAATTAAAAATAATACACGAAAGTGGTGCATAATGTTGCAATCAGAGATAAATATACGCTTTCTTTGGGGTGTACCCGTCGTGTTTTGAACCCGCACTCATCACTTAAAAAACTTGAACATGGTTGTTCTACGATTTTTCACGAGTGGTTTTTTTTTCAGTGGTTGGTGGCCAGAAGCCAGAAGCCCCTAGTTCACTTTTGAAATGTTTAAGAAAGCTCTCTGGGTCATTCGTGCTGCGAGGGCTATCCATCGAAGACATTCCCGTAAATGAATGGGGAATGAACATTCTTCCGCGATGTAGCTATCTACCACAAACTACCAAGGTTGCCAGATTAACGCTTCCTCTTTGAATGTTGAATATTCGCGCAAATATGTGAGTTTTCAGTACCAGAAAAATTCGCGCAATCCTATGCATATCCAAAAAGGTAAAAGAGGGGGCATTCGCGAAATTCTATCGCAGCCCTAGTCGCAGTGGCATTACGCGGCGACATTCCGCGTCTCAATTGCCGTACCTAGGTACCTTAATAACGTACACTCAGTCTGGCGATGTGTAGGGGATGGTGAGGTGTTTAGAGAGAGGAGAGAGAGGTCAAAAATTAACATTGCTATCATTTTTTTTTAAAGAAAGTATTCATAAACAAAATGTAAAAATAAATCAGAAACGAAGATGAACATAATGGAAATAGGAAAATAAATTGGACGAAAACCAGAACAAATAATAGCTTTACACCGTTCTCGTAATCGTGTGTTCTGTTGACCTTCCATTGTAGGTATGCTATTGTTCCGCCTATTCAATGTCATTTTCTCCATAAATCTTCCGGTTGAGCTGCAGATCCTCTTTTCACTTTTTGACGTGTAAAAATAAATGGACGGAAAGAAACGATAAGAATTAAAGCGTCACAATGGCATGATTCCTCATCAAAATTGCAAACAAAAAATGCGGAGCTAATTGACCTCCTCTCAAGGAAAAATATCGTCAATGAGAGATCAGCGTTGATTGTTTACATTAAAATCAGTCATTTAAATTTATACACCGCTCAAACTGGGGGAGGGGAAGGGGGTAAAATCGGCCAAGGGAAACGCATTTACCATTCAGCACATAACTTAAAAAATATTCTACTTTCAAATTTTCTTCAAATACACTTTGATCAGTGGCGTGGCGTGCATTGCGATAGATCGATTCTTATGCCATTTAAACCTACGAAAAAGGATCGATAAGCAGGGTGTTCGCAGCGAACACCTTAATAATCGATTCTTTACCATAGGTTTAAATGGCAGAACAATCGGTACATCGCAATTCGCGGCACGCCACTGACTTTGATTAGGCACTTAATTCGGGAGCGCGGGAGCTTGAATTGAAAAACACATAAGACGTTGTTTCCTCATTAATGCGTTTCATTTTAAGATTTTCATTATGTCTTTCATATTTTTGTGAAATAGTAAGGAAAAAACATTCAATTTGGCGTTTGAATTCCTTTTGCTTCAATCTCAATGGCAGTTTTGGACGAGGATTGCGCCGCGCGAAGCTGATCGGCTGCGCAGCAGGTGTATCATGTCGGGGTTGTTGTAGAGGGAGGAGGATAAAAGTTGTTAAGACGAGGTATTTGCTTGAGGGTGAAGGAAACCTTCCAAAAACCTCGGAAATTGCCCAAACGCGGGTCCGCCATATTACGCCCTACGCAAGCACCGCGAGGGCAAGAATACGACAGACATGAGTGTAAGTATTCCTCGGTACACCACTGAAAGGAAGTAGTAGTTCCATGCAACTTTTGATAGTCAGTATGAGCTTCAGTATTTTCTGAGAAAAACATGAATCGTTTCCACCGTTTACGATCAGCGTTGCAGGATTTCCGTCATACTTAGTTTTTTCGATGGAAAACTATTAAATGGGCCGCGTTTAGCAGAAAGGAACCAAGTCACATCAGCTGTTTCCAAATTTACCAGGGCACTTTAATTTTTTACAAGAGAACGTTTGTGCGGATTCCTTGGAAAATTTTAGGGAATTTGCTTCGTGATATAAAGAAAATTCACTGAAATTTGCACAAAAATCCGCTCAACTGTTTCCCTGTAAAATATTAAATTGCTCAAGTAAATTCGGCAAAGGTTGATGTGGCTCGGTTCCTGTCTGCTTGACGCGGCCCAAGTGTTGTTCTTTCAAGACGTCAGATTTATTTTCTCTGCATATGTGAGGAATATATTCTGCAATTTAAAGGCCTGGCGTTGATTCAATTCCTGAGGTAAAAAAAAGAGAGTGAGAGGAGCTTATAAAACACCGCGATTGAGATGCGCAGTTTAGGGATTACATCATCGATGCGCAAAAGGGGGAGAAAAAGCTTACATCTCCATGTAACATATCCAACAGGACCCATCGGAAAAGCCTCTTTCTTCGTTTCTTTTCTTTTTTGATGGGCCTTGCCTTAGCAGCTAAGGCTTACTATCGCCTATCGCCCCCTCCGTTTGATCGGTTATATATTCTCTTTTCGTTTTCTTTTTTATTTTATTTCACGAAAAAGCCACTGGCTCATTCAAGATTACTCTCGGTCAATTCATTTCCGCCGATTTTTGTTAGTTTTTTTCCTGCCAGATAATACACGTATCGGCGGTATTCTTTACTTAAGATGTCGCATGCACGAGCCAACTGCTCGTCATATTCTCGCTCTGTTAAAAGTCACAAGACAAAGCTATACTGCCGTGCTAAGAAAGAACGCCTTGTGAACATTCGAGTGTTGTCAAATTTCCTTCGATAAAATGTTCATTTTTGAGGGAAGTTATGAATATTTTTCCTCGAAATTTTAAGGAACTTTAGGTGAAATTGCAAACAACATTATCTGAAAAACTGGAAGAAAAATACTCATAAGTTTGCAAGGAAATTCGTGTTTTATGACTGGAAATTTGGCAACGCCTGAGGGTTCATACGGCGTTTTTCCTTAGCACGGCAGGATAGCATACAAAGCGCATTGTCATTTACTTACTTTTTTATTTATTTTATCGCTCAACGTGTGTATTCAAGAGCTCAATGCGGGGATTCGGCTTTCACGTGACTGATAGGAGGCAAATTCAGCTACTTGAGGTCAAGGTCGGACGTCAAGGGAAACATTGTCATTTTTCCGGAAAACGCCCGATTTCCCCGTCGACGGCACTTTGTGCTGGGCGAATTTGGTCGACAACTTTTGCAACAAGACGATTAGTCGTTAATCAAGAGGGTCATTGCTTCCTAGCCATTCTGTTCAATGCTCAATCTCCATTCGCTTTTGTGGGCCTCTTGCACACAGTGGCGTCGTCAGAAATTATTTGTGGGGGCGGGGAGAAGATTTACACTAAGAGAATTCGGGGGGTTTCAAGCCCCCCCCCCCACCGGCTCCTGGGTATCCGTGATGTGGACAAAATGTGGATACATTAAAAGCTCATGTAGATGTTAATACGAAACGTAAAGATTGAGAAGTGGTTTCATTGATTTTCTCCTCAAGTTCCCTTCAAGAAGCACCCCATTAAAATTTGTAATGAGAAAGAAATTTGCAGCTTTGGTTGACAATTTCATGTCCAACCTCTCTGAAAGGCTCGTTTCTTTAGTGTGGCGGGCTTTACTACGAAAATGACTGACAGTGAGTGCCTTTATTTCTTCATTTATACTTGAAAAACATCTCTTGGAAACGAATGGTTGCTCTTCAGATAAGTATGGCACATACCGATAAGCACGAAAGTTGCTCACATCCTGTGCCTGTTTGCAATTATCCGTGTCTTCGTGTCTAGGAGATATCTTTGTAGGATAAATTAAGAATTGGACTGCGTTGAGCAGAAGAGAACCGAGCCACATCAGCTATTGCCAAATTTTATGAGGCAATTTAATTTTTTACATGAATACAGTTGTGCGGATTTTTTTGCAATTTTCAGTGAATTTTCTGCCTAATACGAGGCCAATTCCTTAAAATTATCAAAAGAATTCACTTAGACGTTCTCTTGTGAAAAATCAAATTGTCTGGTTAAATTTGGCAATAGGTGATGTGGCTTGGTTCCTTTCTGCTAAACTCAGTTCAATTAAAAGCGCTCTGCTATTTTAGATTCTCGCAGTCAAGCCCGCCCGCGGATGGAGTGGTGAGTGCCTGCATGGTCCAAACGCCTTCGCTTCCATGCGTATGCAACACGGACATCCATGAAGCCCGAATAGTTGCATCCAAGAGTTGAAAGTGTTCGTCGCATTCGACACTAAATAAAGGCGCTTTGCTGGTTTCATTTCCACCGTGACTTAGTTCCAGCGTTGCTTATTGTGCCGGTGAAGCAAATTATTACTGACTTTTATCGCGACACTGTCAATTTTCCGAATAATGCTCCGTATCTTATTACTACTCTATATAAAGCTGCCGTGTACTGGCTCACTCAGCCCCCCCTCCCCCCCCNCAAAAAAAAAAACACCGGCCGAAGCTATTTTCTTCAAACATGAAGCGAATTTTTGCGATCGAAAACCATCCATCGTTGAATGATATTCGACGATTGTTCATTTTTTTCAATGATATTCGACTACTTCGTTGATCTTCACGGAGACGGTTGAAAGTCATCAAGAGGCCCGGACTTAAGGCGTGTGCAGGGCGTGCGGCGCACACGGGCACCAGCCTTTGGGGGGCGCCACGAAAGAAGTAGAGAGGGGAAAAAGGGGGGAAAGGAAAAGGAAAAAAAGGGAAGAAAGGACAAGGGGAAAAAAGGAAAAGGAAACAAGGTTGGGCAGTGAAAGCAAGGAAGAAGGGGGGAAATGGAAGGAAAAAGGAGGCAAGGAAAGTGAAAAGAGAGTCCGCGAGAAAGGGGGGGGGGCATAAAAACCATAGACAAAATATAAAGAGAATTGCCGCGCGTCTAAAGGTAAATTTTCAGGACAAAAACTCCACCTGGTCCATAGACGGTCAGGCGCCCCTTGACCCTAAATTTGCGGCTGTACAGAAATCAAGAGTAGACATGTAGTAAGGGGGCGCCATAAATCCATCGAACAGGAGCCGACATAGCATTTTAGGCCACGTCCGCCATCTTAGATTTGAGAATTTTTAAACATAGTAAAAATTCGAGTTTCCGGTCGAAAAATACCCTCAGACACCGAGTTTCAAAAAAATCCATCGAACAGTAGCCGACATAGTATTTTAGACCACGTCCGCCATCTTGGATTTGAGAATTTTCAAAAATCGACTAAAAATTCGAGTTTCCCGTCGAAAAGTATCCCTGATCCCGCGGTTCACAAAGCTCTAACGAACAGAAACGGAGGCCAGAACCGAGGCTCATTTTAGGCCACATCCAACATTTTGGAGTTGAGAATTTTAAAAAGTTGACTAAAAATTCGAGTTTTCCGTTGAAAAATACCGTGAGATACCGCGTTTCACAAGACTCGAACGAACAGAAACCGAGATAGCATTTTAGCCCACGTCCGCCATCTGGATTTTGAGAATTTTAAAAAATGGACTAAAAATTCGAGTTTCCTGTCGAAAAATACCACCTGACACCGAATTTCAGAAAAATCCATCGAACAGGGGCCGAGATAGCATTTTAAGCCATTTCGGATTTTCGAATTTTGAATTTTTTGAATTTTGACAGATTTTGATTTAAAACGCGTGTTCCCCAAAATCGAAGCTCAGATTCGGATTCCTCGTAAAAAATCGATGCGATTTCATATATCACACCCTGACACCGAATTTCAGGAGAATCCATCAAACAGGAGCCGAGATGGCATTTTAAGCCATTTCAGTCATTTCGGATTTTCGAAGTTGAAAAATTTTACTTAAAACGCGTGATACCCAAAATCGAAGTTCAGATTCGGATTCCTCGTAAAAAATCGATGCGATTTCATGTATCATACCCTGACACCGAATTTCAGGAAAATCCATCGAACAGGAGCCGAGATGGCATTTTAAGCCGCGTCAGTCATTTCAGATTTTCGAATTTGGAATATTTGACTTAAAACGCGTAATACCCAAAATCGAAGTTCAGATTCAGATTCCTCGTTAAAAATTGATACGATTTCATGTATCATACCCTGACACCAAATTTCAGGAAAATCCATCGAACAGGAGCCGAGATGGCATTTTAAGCCACGTCAATCATTTCAGATTTTCGAATTTGGAAAATTTGACTTAAAACGCGTGAATACCCAAAATCGAAGTTCAGATTCAGATTCCTCGTTAAAAATTGATACAATTTCATGTATCATACCTGAGCATAGCGTGAAGGAAAGAGACGTAACGTAGACATACTGATTCGAGTCTATGAATGCAACGTGGCAACGGTGCGGTAGTGCTCAGTGGGTCAGCGGAGGAGGAAGAATAAGAATTTGTCGTGAGAAATTCCTCGGGACGAAACCGAACGCTTGCTTAGCGCCGGCGTCTCACCGTTCGGTTGCATCTCGGGCGACCCGCGCGGCGCGGCGGCGTAGTTCTTAAAGGGGTAGTACGACAGAATCTATACGCGTCGTTAAACCTTTTTTCTTCACGCTATTTTAACATATGATACATGAAACCTCATCAATTTTTTACGAGGAATCCGAATCTGAGCTTAGATTTTGGATATTACGCGTTTTAATCTATTTAAAATCGTAAGAGAATTTACAGAATTGTCCTTGAAAATTGATCACGCATTAGTGTTTTTTTACTTCATTAAACCTCTTTCCTTCACGCTATTCTAACATATGATGCATGAAATCGCATCAGTTTTTCACGAGGAATCCAAATCTGAGCTTAGATTTTGGATATACGCGTTTTAGTCTATTTAAAATCGTAGGAGAAATTACAGAATTGTCCTTGAAAATTGATCACACATTAGTGTTTTTTTACGTCATTAAACCTCTTTCCTTCACGCTATTCTAACATATGATGCATAAAATCTCATCAATTTTTCACGACGAATCCGAATCTGAGATTAGATTTTGGATGTTACGCGTTTTAATCTATTTAAAATCGTAGGAGAAATTACAGAATTGTCCTTGAAAATTAATCACACATTAGTGACTTTATACCCCGTTTTTCTTCCGATGTGGTCCAGAGAAAAGTAGGGGGGAAAATTGTTTCTGTGGAATGTTGTGCAGAGTTGGGGCATTCCTCTTGGGAGTGAGAATGGGCTCCTTTTATCGAAAGAATTGCAACAAAGGCTAGATGTCTGGGCTACTGGGCATGATTGCATCACACAGTCGCGCAGTTTCCGTTGCACCACGGAGTGCAGTTATCACACGTTCGCTCGCTACAATGTAAAGGTCGGCCACCTGCCTTAGGTCTATGAAATAGGGACAAACTAGAAGCTAAACAGGGAGAGCGGGCGATAATCAGCGGGATAGTAAGCGACTTAAAAAGAATCCGAGTGACTGCAACAGTCGTAAAATCGCTGGAAAAACATACCTATTGGACATTCGAGGAGATGCAGAACCGATCAAAGAGGGGGGGGGGGGGGAAGACCGGAGAATTAGTACGCAAATATTTTATCTGAAAGTGCTTAAAGAGCTGATTTCGGAGTATTATATACATTTTTTTTAAAAAAGGGAAATAGTATAAAAATAGATTTAAAAGGAACAAAATGCACCGCCCAGTGACATCATATGGTAGCATTTTCCACTTAATCACACGTATATCAGCAGATGAGATCATTTGTCATAACTTTTATATCGAGCAGGTAGTGATTGGTGCTTGAAAAAAAATGGAACATAACAGAAGATTTTATAATTTTTTCCAATTATTATTACTTATTATGATGTAAAATTTACAAAATGTCAAAACCCAATATTCTTGAAAATTGGCATATAAAGCCAGCAGTTACATCTATACTTAACACTTTTCTTACAATTATTTCTTCATTAAAATATTAAGCGATTCCTCAGATATTACTTAGTTTAATAACAATTTTGTCTGTTTGTTTTGTGGATTCCATGATATTGCTTAGCTGAGGATTAAATTAGTTTATTTTGCTTATTTCTTAGTGAAGTCTGCAATTGATGTTCAATTAGCAATTTGTATGTAGATTATTTTTTACACAAAATCAATTGTCAACATCTAAAATTAAATATGATGATGTGAAATTTCCAAAAAAGTGGTCAAATCTGAAAAACTTTCAGGGATGTTACTACAAAACTTCGTTATGTAGGTAGCTGTGGATTTATGAGGTGGTAACTAAAGCTTATGGATGGTTGTGAACAACCAAAGAAATTTCTTTCTAAAGAGACTACCCCAAAGATCAGAACACCAGAGATGTTGTTTCAAAATAGATAAGGGATAATGGCTTTTCTTCTCTTCGGATAATGTTTAAATTTTTGTAAGTACCACTCATGTGTGTCACGAGCCCGGGGCACCAAGTTGGCACAAGAGAAAAAGACAAATCCTAAACTTACAGGAGACCAGGTCATCACAGCCCATCCTAGCCACTCAACAATTTCTCCAAAATAGTTGGGACAGCTCACAAGCTCAAACCAACCACCTCTCGGTATTTTATAATCATCATTCCTTTTCTTCAGCCCAATCAAAACTAAATCGGCACAAATGTTAATCCTCATGCCCCACAAAAATAAAAGGAGGCCTAATATAATTCTAAACCAGAACCAGTTATCATTGTCATAATTTTTGTAATGAGAAATTTCTCTAATCTGGATGTATGAATTTAAAATGCTGAAACTAAAAGCTAGCACGACTGTGATAACGGGAACCCCAGCAGAGGTTTTTTTTTTGTAGAGGCGAAAGGGGTATACACAAGTGCGATGAATATAGTGAACGAGGAACGGCAACAAAAGGACAAGCCGTTTCGGATCGGCAGCATGCTTGCCCATCGGAAAGAGATAAATGGTTAGCCAAAGAGTAGGACTTTCAAAAAGAAACCATGCTACAGAAGCAGGCATAGTTGGACCCCATCCATCACTATAGTGTTTTCCGTATGGAGCCTTGATGAGCCAGAGAGCAATGAAGGTCACAGGTGACATGATGTAGAATAAACTGACACAAGACTTAAAATAAATCTCGTCAGAGGTCATCTTTGAACTAAACAACATTAGGCTGATAAAAATAGTTAATTGTCCGGGTTGATTTAACTCTAAATACCAAGCAGCTCCTGGTGTGATAAAGGGTTGCTAGTAGAGGCCGCTCAGGTCCTAAAAACATGCACAATACTGTCCTATTAAGAAGGAGCGTAGTATACCAAGGCAGAATAATTAATTAGCATGTGTTGTTTTTATTTTACTTCAAAATCTTATTCTATCATCAGCTGCAGTTTAAAAGCATCATTTGGTGATCATTGGCAGTTATGACTTGCATCACAGATCAGACTTGTTTGAAAAGAAGTCAGAACCAATTTCATATACCATGACTCTAATAATAGTTCCGTCCACTCACTCGGCAGTGAGGAGAAGTTTATGACTAAAGAGTGCTGGCTTGGCGAACATAAGCACAAAGGTCTTTCCATGATCATACATTGCTGTACACTTGATCCCTTCCCTATTCCTGGCGGCGCCAATTGAACTACAAAATGATTGCACAAGGAAGCTCTCAAATCACGATTGGTGGTGAAGTAGAAAAATGATGTAGCAATGGCAGCAGACATTGATTTTGTATCATGAACATCAAAACTCTAAGGTATCGACTGTAAAGTAAGGTTTGAAGGCCCTTTCCATGTTGGCTAATTAAAGTCCCAACCTCATCTCATCCCTTCTGCTAAGATCCAAAATTCATTTAGTGTCGGTTCTAATCTTTAACACAGAATTCCGTGCTTCATTCTGCAAACCTTTCTTGTTAGTCTTTTGAAAGTTTGCCTCTGAAATGTGCTAAGATTCAGAGTCAAAAGTAAGCTGCCGCTGCCACTTAGGGTGCCGGAGGCAGAACAAATCGTTAGAAATTTTATAAGTGGCAAACCCTTCAGCAGCTCATCATGAAGAAAGTGCCCCCAAGTCCCCTGTTCAGTGTGACACCAATGAACAATACACAAAGGACACAGATTGGAACTTCTTTCTTTGCATGGGATGATCACATGGTTGACTATTAATCGAATTGATGTTGGCTGTACCGATCATAGCACTTGCCTCTTTATCAGGATTAGCCATCTGAAACCTTCTTCAATAATCTGCAGAGCTACTCAAGGAATACCGATACATACCTTAATCATAACTGGAGGGGAAATGACCAGATGAAGAGCCGAGATTAGGTACTCAGACAAGTTGTTATGCATCAGTCGGGGATGAAGAGTGAGAGGTGTGACCAGGTGGGGCAGAAAAGTTGGACAAGTTCAGCACTTGAATGTTTACTACCTTGACAAGTCGGAAAATATACAATACTTACATCAACTCCTAGCCGGCAGAAAAGAACCTGGAGATGTAGTCAGGAGACCATGTGCTCTCTGTTATCAACTACCACTGAGGAAGCTGTGAAGTAGGCTGATATCAGCTTCGGCGATTGTAAACAAAACTTGAATTGAACCCATCCACAGAAACATCAGCAACCGAAAACTTCAAACTACTCTCAAACTATGACGCGCCCCCTCCTCCGACTGGCACACTTTTAAAGAATTTGAATAATTTGACGCAATTTTAAGAAAAATTATCATGCCTAAAATAAATTCGTCGACATGGACAAATATGTAGGGAGATATACAGGAAAAGTGGATAAGGGCGGAGAGCAACGAACTACACCTCTAGAATGGCCGCGAGATAGCAAACCTGCGTAACGCGCATGGGCCGGTTTTTGAAGGCAGGAGGGGGGTGGGAGCCCGTTCGTTGGCGGAGAGGGCCGTAAAATTGAATTTCGCGCTTTGAGAAACTTGTGTACCGAGCCTCAACGAACATCACCTCAACGTTGTGGGATGACCTAACCTCAACGACCGCAATGGGCAATGTGCAGAATGGAAAAATAACTAAACTCGTGGTTCGCCGGTCGTTCTAAATAAGTGAGAATTATTTCATCAGCTCGCCGTCGCCAGTCCAAGTGTTTTTCAGAGCCGTTTCGGAACTTTCGTTACTTCTTACTCTCCATTGTTGAAGAGTGTTTTCCATTGTAAACTGACCATTTTGGCAAAGTTTTGTGACAAAATATACAGTTTGATAGTAATTACCAGTGGCTGTAGATCAGTTTTATAATGTCTTGGCTGTTTGGTATTCGCTCTGATCCTCCCTCTGCTCCTGCAGATTTTTCTCAGTTTGCGCAGCCACCAGCCGGTGCCGATGGAGGAAGCAGTGGAGGCGGTGGTGGTAGCAAAGATGACGAGAAGCGGAGGATGGAAGCTTATAGATTCGATTCGGCTGCTTTGGAAAGAGCAGCTCAAGCTGCTAGAGAGTTGGAAAAATCAAGTAAGTTGTCATCAAGATAAATCTTAGTAATTGACTAGTTTTTTCGAACTTGGGTGTACTGATGAGCTTTGCAATGCGCCGTTGAATAGGTAACTGTGTATTTCATTAGTAGCGCGCCCGAACTTCAAAGAAACACATCATCAGCTAGTTCAAAAGTGTGTGTCTCAGAACTATGTAGGTGAGTCCCCGCTCATATTTTATTTTTTAGAGGAAAGCCAAGCAATGATTTCCATTGAAATTTTCTGCGATACTTATTCACTCATTCTGAGAGAATCTTGCAATGTAGCTGTGCAAGCAACTGTGAACTTGCTCAATGTAGCAAATTACCTGTTGGTCTCTTAATGTCACGTATAAATTCAGGAATATATCGTTCCTTGCAGCTTTGTAACCTCTCAGACAGAGTCTCATTGTCACAAAAGAGAGTGTATGGTTTTGCCGGAAGTCTGAACAAAATCCCAAGTCTTTAGGTATTTCATCTAGCTAAAAGAAATTCTAGGCACTGAACAAAATTATGCCTTTTTCTTTACCAGTTTGAAAGAAATAAATTTGCCCTCTTGAATATGTTTTCCTAGAGCATGCCAAAGAAGCTTTGGAACTGACTAAACTACAAGAAGCAACTAGACAAGCAGAATTTGCGGCTAAGGTTAAAGAGTATGACGTTCATATTGAGCAGTCCAAAATCCAGCAAAAGCAAATCGAAGGGGAAGAGAAACGGAAGTCCCTCCAAGAAGAAACGAAACAGCATCAGATGAGGGCTCAATATCAGGATCAGCTTGCTAGGAAGAGGTTTGTATTGTCAGTTTTAAAACCTCTTGCAGAAAGTGAGCCATGCTCCATAAGTAAGTCGTCTTATGGGGGACAGAAAAAAAAAAAATTATCACTTTAAGTGTGATCATCTCAAGAATTCATTCTCTAGCCAGCCTCAATTGTGTAGTGGTCAAGGCATTGTGCTGCCAGCACTTAGGTCCCAGGTTTGATCCCTGTTGGTGACGGGCTTTTCAGGAAACTTAAAATTTTTCCTAATCATCACACATGACCATGCCACTTTAATAACCTGTCTGTCCTCCAAAGATGATAGGATAGGGGAGATGAGTTTCTCAGGGTATGGGAAACCAGGATATTAGTTGAATTTGCAATGACTGGGTGAAGACATGGAATTTTTTGAGTAGTGCATCAGTTTATATATACCTACTGTCCACCTACCTTTTGAATGACTTCTGACTGCCTCATTAATCATTTGAAGCTCTAGAATTGGAGATTTTATCCCAAGTTCGGGGGAAGATGGTCTATTTAAAATTAAATTAAGTGGAAAATGTGCAGAAAGTCTAGGAATAATAAGGGGTTTTTAAAATTTTGGAGTCAAGAGAAACTCATGCAAATGACTCCTTTAAACATTTTAAAAAAAATTTCTTAGTTGTAAAAAGAGGTATCAAATTCTTTTTATGAATAAGTTTCCCGAATGAATATTGAAGTTTTGCCAGTTGGAAGTAAAGTACTTTTGTTACTCGTCACTTACATCAGTTTTTCAGTATGACTCAGAAACATAGAATAATAAGACTAATCTCCTGTAAAATCTTCATAATTAACCATATACTATGCAGCATATTTCAATAAAAAAATCGTCATGTGGTTTAGATTTCCCTTAATATTCCTTGGAAATCAGAGGTACACATTACACTATCTGCTTTCTGTGGAATCACCCTTTTCCATCGGAAGATTTTAAACAGAGTTTAAGTGTTAGGACTGCTCTCTAGATCGTCATTTACTTCTTTTATCATCCGTAGATTTCTACCAAATGTATGCAATTTATTTGTGTGTGTTTAGATATGATGACCAATTATTACAGCAGCAAAGGATGAATGAAGAAAATTTACGGAGACAGGAAGAGTCAGTCGCGAAGCAAGAGGCCATGCGCAAAGGTATACAAAAGTATTCAATCATATTCACTCTTTTATACTTTCCTCGCTTCATTATGAAATATTTTGAACATGTCGCATAAAAATATGAAGAGGGTGCCAAAATCAGAAAGAATGTGATTAAAAAAAAAAAAAAAAAAAAAAACAGGGAAAATTTTGATAATTTATCAAACTTCTCATTCTCGAAAATATATTATATTTCCCTGAATCACCATATACCCCTACAAAATTGATGGAAATTGTTAAAGCTCTCCAAGATATTTTTTCATTTCAAAACATTTGAATTTTTCCTTTTGAATGCGAAGTGCTTAGTATCATGTCTGGTTTGATTTATTCAAAGAACTATGTTGCAGTAATATTCTGCAAGTTTCTTGATGGCTGTGTAAGTTTACGTTCTTTTTTTTTTTTTTTTTCTCTCTGTTTTAAGAAACCATCGCTCAGGAACTAGAAATGCGCTCAAAATTAGAGATGAGCAAAATAGAAGCTGAACTGAGGAACAAAGCGAAAATAGATCGTGAAAATCATGACCTTAATCTAGAGAAAATTAGACTGAAAGCAGCTGAACAGAGACAGACAGTCTTGGAATCGATCAAGTAAGTGGTTTATTCTGTATACCCACAACACCTCTTTTTCACTTGGAATCTGATTTGTGTGTCCGTGATATCCAGTTCTAGTCATTTGTGAGATGATAAGTTTGTTTTTATAGCTGATTTTGACTGATGGTGATCTTAGGTTTTTCTGCAAGTTAGAAATTTGGAGTTTCCGAATTTAGTGTCTTCAGTTAGTGTTAATTTATACTTCACTTATGAGTTGATTTTAGGACTTTTCAATATGTTCTGCATGAATATTTCCATGAATATTTCTATGAATATTGGAGACATGACCTTTAAGCAAGAATGCAGATTAAAGCAAATGGGAGGTGTTTTTGAACTCTCTGCAATCCTGGTATAATGTAGGGTGTCATGTTGTTCAAAGGATAAAGAAGCTTTTTACTCACTGTGATATTTTAACATGTCTTAATCCTATTTTATAGAACTGCCGGATCGGTGCTTGGCTCTGGTGCAAAAATTTTATTGGAAGACTGGGATAAAATGTTGGCAGCAGCAGGAGGCCTTACTCTAATTGCTGCTGGTGTGTACACTGCTCGATCAGCCACGGGGGTTGCAGCACGGTATATTGAAGCAAGATTAGGTAACAACAATTTTATAATTGTTTGACTCTAAAAATAAGATTTCTCTTTAAACCATCTTTTTGCGACCATTTTTCTCAGATTTGAGGACCAAATCATGAGACGGTGCTGCCTGTGCAGCGCAAGGAAAGCACACAAAAAAAACCAGAAAACACTGATATAAGGGTGAGAGAAAGACTTGCCGACCGGCCTGAACACAAATGAAGAAAAACATGACTAAGAAATCACCCGAAAGGGTGATTTCCCCTTAAAAAAGAACTCACATTTTGGGAGTAACAAAGACTTGCACGCACCTGCTAGGATGAAAAGACCAAAGTGAAAAAATATGGCGTCTCCGCATAACGGTCCCTCTCTCTCCGGTGTCCGCCTCTCCCATTGGTGGATCAAGTCATGTGACTGGATCCCCCAATAGGACTACAGACACCAGACAGAGACAGGGAGGGAAATGCAAATATCCAAAATACATATTTATATGTCACAATCATTGGTATTGAGACTATTTGAAATACATTTTTTTTCAGTGGCGTGGCGTGCTTTGCGATATATCGATTGTTGTGCCATTTAAACCTATGGAAAAGGATCGATAATCAGGGTGTTAGCAGCGAACACCTTAGTAATCGATTCTTTACCATAGGTTTAAATGGCAGAACATTCAATATATCGCAAAGCACGCCACGCCACTGTTTTGTTTCTAAATAAGCCTGTTGAGTAGTTTTCAATTCTTGCATTTTTAAAATGCAAAAAGAGCACTTAGTTCGCTGGAATTTTGCCGAAGTTTTTGAACAAGAGGTATTAATTCACACAAAAGTTACTATTGTAACACATATTGCCATGGAAGCCAAGATGTCTTCTGAAAATATTCGCCCTGCTGCAGGTTCTCTTTAAAGTGAGTTTCCTCTCTGTCATGATTCATGGTATGTGCAGCTGTTATCAATGCACTGCTCCACAAGCCATGGATCCTCTTCTCGGTTTTGCTGCGTATTTAAACAGGAGCCCAAAATAAGCAACTTTGAACTCTTTTTTTCTAGTTGAATATTGTTCAAAAATCCTGGAAAAATTCCTGTGAGCTAGGTGCACTTCCTATTTTTCAAAAATTTAAGAATTAAAAATCACTGAGCAAGCTCATAATGGGGAATTCCCCAGAATTTGCATGAAATTAGGAAAAAGGGATAACAAACATGGATCAAACTTGAAAATTGCACCCTCATATCTTTTCTATCTATGGGAATAATATTATTTCGATTAAACTTATCAAAGGATATTGCAGTGAAAATTGTTAAGATCAGATTATTTTTCTCTACTATCAATAGCAAGCATTTGACTGACCCTATTTTTCATGTTTGATTTCTTTTAGGAAAGCCATCTTTAGTACGAGAAACTTCAAGATTTTCCTTTTTAGAGAGTCTTAAACATCCTATTAATACAGTGAAGAGCATACGCTCAAAATCCTCAGATGCTCTATCTGGTGTGATCCTTGCACCAACTCTTGAAGAAAGACTGAGGTATTAGCTCTTAACTTTTTCTCCCTCTCTCCTTTTAACTTGTGCTGTTTTTGGTTGTACATATTAAAGTGATTTGCAGATTGTTCAAATAAAGCTAAGTGTAACAATGTGTCAACACTAACTTTCAAGGAATGCTTATAAAAACTGGTGCTCACTACAGTTCTAGTAAAATTAACTTGCAAGCGAGTGAAGAAGTTTTTACAAATTTTAAAATCTACTTCTTATGCAGGACCTGTCGTCCCCTCTCTTTAGGTAGCCTTGAAATGAGCGAGGTTTCTTCCATAATCCTTACTTGTATGATGGTATTTACGTTGCTAATTAAGATGGTATTAAAGTTCAGTCTTGATTACAGGGACATCGCCATTGCTACCAAGAATACCAAACGAAACAGAGGGATGTTCCGTAACATATTGATGCATGGCCCACCAGGAACGGGTAAAACCATGTTTGCCAAGGTAAAAAATCTCTCAACTTTATTTTCTTTTGGTAATCTTAAAATTATATTGGCTCCTCCAGACAGTTCCAGAAGTTCTTTGTTACAGATAGCTCATTGTTCGAACTGTCAGGAGTTTTAGGCTCAATCCTGAATATTAATAGTAGAAACTGTCTAACTTTTACAACAAACTGTTGAGCATGTTATTTATTGCAATCTAACTCCTCCGGTGTGTTGGTTTTTTTTTTTTTTTTTCCTCAAAAGAAACTGTTGAGAACATTCTATGACCCCCGTTAAGTTCCTCAATGAAAATTACAAATACCATAAATCTGAAGGTGGCAACGCAAAGGAAAAAACAGTCATCTCCTACAGATAATGACAATTTATTTGGATTAAGATTATTTCTTAGTTCCCACACTACTCTTCTTGAATCTTAGATTTTAATCTAAAGTATTGTTCTTATTTCCAAAAATGTAGTACATTTTTTAATTGTTTTAGAAATTGGCCACTCATTCTGGGATGGACTATGCTATTCTCACTGGTGGTGATGTTGCTCCTATGGGGAAAGACGGTGTCACTGCCATCCATAAAGTTTTTGATTGGGCGAGCAGTTCACGACGAGGTCTTCTCTTGTTCGTGGATGAAGCTGATGCATTTCTTAGAAAACGTAGTTCTGAACATATTAGTGAAAATTTAAGAGCAACTTTGAATGCTTTCTTGTACAGAACTGGTGAACAGTCTGATAAGTATGTACCAGAGCTTTAAAACAGCTCATTGTCTTTATTTTTATTTTCATATATGTGCTTCAAAATATTAAAATATTGCGCTTGACTTTTAATTTTGTTTTGATGAAAATAAGTTAGTCATGGTGTGAAATATGCAACCTAAGGTTATTGTCTTTTTTCAATTCCACGTGGGAGCATTGAAATCAGGCCTAGAAGATTAACTGTAAAACTACAAGTTGTTTATTCCACTCTATAAAATACATGACCACAGCTAACTTATTTTTATCAAAATTAGGTGCAATTGTTCCTACAGTGTCAATTAGCCTTAAGAAGTTTGATTTTTAATCAATGATTTATTTTAGTATTATGACAGATCGTAGAGTTCTCTTTTGTAATCACTAGAAAATATTTGGTCAAGCTGCCAGGTGTAGAATTTTTTGCGGCATGAAAAGTTATCTACACATGCCGTAGAATCCACATTTCATAAGAGGAAGTTTGCAAAAGTTTTGCCTTTTTCTACTGGGTCAAAGAAAATAATTGTGCCCACTCTTCACCTACTTATTCTTAGTTCACCCCCCCCCCNCCCCATATTTATGGTTGCGAAGTTATTCATTTGCCTTGTCATTGCTAGCAGGCTCAAAACTTGCCGAAATAGAATTGGAGGGATCCATTTTGACAAAGGAAGATGAGTTGAATAGAGGCCTTTGAAAAACGTTATAAAGTTTTCCAAAAATAGATTTCCATCTAACTGCATAATCTGGTAAGTCAGGGAATATGCAGCAACCTAAAAAAGTCAGGAGATTCTGCGAGGAGCGCTGCGGCTCAGCAATCTCAGCTGGTGTCAATTGAGAGAGTGCCTTTTTCCTAATTTGAATCTTTATACTAATTGTAAAAAAACAAGTGGGGCCTCCAAATTTCGTCAAAGAAATCCTTGCAGGGTCCATACTGTTAAAGTTTAGGGGACAACTTTTTGCTTCTTAGTCCCCCTCCTGTAGGCCAGTGATCATTAGATCATTGAAATTTCTTTATTTTCAAAGCTATCAATTGTACTAATCTTAATGTTGTTGTTTGTATTTTCCTCAAGATTTATGTTGGTGTTGGCTAGTAACACTCCAGAGCAGTTTGATTGGGCTGTTAATGATCGTTTGGACGAAATGGTGGAATTTGACCTACCAGGTCTTGAAGAAAGAGAGCGATTAATTCGTCTTTACTTCGACAAATTTGTTCTTCAACCTGCAACAGCAGGCCATAAGTAAGACAACTTTTTTTTCCTCTGGAAGATTTGTTTGTTTTGCTCATAATTGAGAACTTACTCCCCGAGAGGGGTATATTTAATTTGGGATCTTTCATTTGACATTGAATGAAGCTTACAAGTCAAATTTTTAACGCAATGTTCTAAATTTCATAACTGTGGCACATCGAAACCATAGTTTTCTTTTGAGACTCCATTACTAAGTGTAGCTTACAAGTAGTTTTATTTATCTTTGTGACCGTAAAATGGATGAAATTGGATGACCGTGGAGCAGCTTGAAGCTCCAATCATGATAGATTATAAATGTCATTTTTTTCTCAAAACTATGCACTTTGAACTGCAAACTTTCTGTGAAATCCTCCCCCAAGCAATGGTGCCAGCAACTCAATTTTAATTGTTTCAGCACTGATTTTCCTGTTCCTCTTGACAGTCACACATAATTCCCCAGCCTTCCAGTAATCATGGCACATATTATGAGGAAGTGTTTGTTAAACTGCTAAGATTAACAGTAAAACAAATTGTGAAGAAAATCATAAGACTTTGCATAATAAAACAATACTAAAAAATCAGCAGCTTTGTTCCTGTCAGTAGGTGGAAAGTTGTTAACATATTTTTTGATTTCAGAATACTCCAAGATCATTTATATTTAATCAAGTATGTATCAAAAGTAAGAACTGCCTTCCCAGTTGTGTAGTTTTTGCTTCTCTAAATCTCTCTTTCACTCCTCATTTTTCAGACGTTTAAAGGTTGACCAGTTTGACTATAGTTCGATTTGCTCAGAAATGGCAAAATTGACGGAAGGCATGTCAGGTCGAGAAATTGCAAAACTGGGTGTTGCTTGGCAAGCAGCAGCCTATGCATCTGAAGATGGCGTGCTCACCCAGAAGATGGTTATGAGCCGTTGCCAGGATGCAGTGAAGCAACATCAGCAAAAGGTATGTTCACCCTCAAATCCAATTTTGAAAAAGCCATTGCCAAAAAACCTAGATTGCAAAACAAGTGTCTACAGGGCTGGAAAACAGAACAAATAGGAAAAAAATTCCCTGAAAATATCAGAAAATCAGAATTTTATTGAAGAGAATTACATAATTTCTTTTGCAAGCAGGGTGTCTAGTGACAAGGTAAAACAGGAAAGTTGTGGAGACAAAATTGGTTTGAAAAAAGTCAGGGAGAGAAAACGCAAACACTCTCTCGAAACTTAAAAGTGACTGTACTGAGTTGTCAACTGTGCCAATGTATCGAGCCGTGCGTTTGCATGAAGAGTATGTTAGTGTTGAGGTGAATTTTGTATAAAGTGTAGGCTATTACTCTCATTAAAACCTCAGTATGGCAAGTTTCTCTGAGCTTAGGGACTAGTTATAGGGGAACCATTTTGCTTATTACAAAATTTGACTCAATATAAGAGGGTTCAATAAAAAATGTGTACTTCATTCAAAAACTGACTCCTTTTTTGTTCATTAGTAGGTTTTTTATTCTGAACAGTCCAGTAATTTTTGTTGTATTTGTTAGTAAAAATACGAGGCAAAGCTCAGAAAATTTTTCTTTTCTGGGATCTGTAGAAAATTTCCTACAATGTTACTTTCATTATCTTTATGCGTGATTGGCATATTGTTACTTTGCGATACTTTGGAATCGATTAATGCTTGACGACAATTTTTTTGCAGGTAATGTGGCAAAGCGAGCAAGAAAAGAAGGAGGCCAGATCGATATCCAGCTCTAGTCAACCCTCAACCAAATCCAAAGTAGGAAAAAGCTAATGTTCCAGAAGTTCTTGCAAGTAAGTTGGAAGTTTATAATACACCTCTCTGACCCACTGGAATTCTTCAATATCTAGGGGTCATCCTTAAATGAGCAACGCCAAAATTGCTCACTCCTCACCTTTCCATAAGGCTCCATGATGTAATGCCAAATTTCCCCTAATAATCTGTATTGTTGACCTAGACTTCTCCCTTCATTCCCTCCTCCCCTTAGAATGCTAGCAGCATGTGCAGCATCTGGAATGTCGGTAGTTTTTGTAAACATGACATACTTAAAATACCCAAAATAGTTATGAAATGCCACGCTTGATATCCCTTCACACCTTTTAACCTTAATTTTTGGCGCTTAGCCTATTATTGATGACAAATCCACACTTTAAAATTGTGTTTTTTATAGCCCTTAATTTTTCTTAATTTCATTCATTGGTTTTTTTCCCCAGGTCAGAATGAAGAGACGAGCTAATATGTTCTAGTTGTACTTCTGTAGTGCTTGCCAGTGTTACATGTTAAAGGTGGCAAGAAACTGCCAATTATTTTCTATTTTTAAGTGGCTTTTATCATCCCTGGTTCTAAGAAGGTGATGTACGGTTGGGAAAACACAGAATTCCTCTCTTCGCAAGACAGATTTTTTTGGTATTTTTTTCCTTTTACTTCTAAGTCGAAGTAAATAATTACAGCGAATTAAGTTTTATTGGTTAAGTAAAAGTGAATGAATTCATCTCACCTCCATTTATGTTCCATTAGTCTAAGTTATTTTGCAAGTAACAAACCTGCACAAGTAATATTTTACTTAAATAGTAGCCAAATCTTTGACGCATCAATGGTTAATTCTCAGAGTTTACAAATTCTCTCTAAAATGATTGGGAAATAGAATTGTCTAATTTAAGTATTATATGACTTACCCACAGCATTTTGTTCAACTTTGGTGCAGGTCAATTAAAATTAAACCATTTCAGGTTATTGTTGCACCAGGTTCCAATTCCATATCCCTGAATTTAGTTGGAAGGGTAATTTGGTAATCTTTTTTCATAGAACTATCAGCTCCATCACATTAGTATCACCCACCTTTATTTCAGTGTTCCTCTTAAGCTAATCCATTTAACACTAAATATTGTCTGATTTAGGCCAGTTGTTTATTTTTAGAATTGGACTACATTTTGAAATAAGGAACCACTATTTCTTACTCATTTTAGATATATAATGTGCTGTTAGTGTCCTTGAGCAGGTACTTATAGAGGCCAGTCAGCAAGAGGAGCTCATTGTTGCAAAATGTAGTCCAAATCAATCATATGCTCACCTTAATTTACAGGCAAAAACTTCTGGGTGCCCACCACAAAAGCTATTTTTATCTCTTTATTGACTTTTTCATTGGTTTCCCAAACATTTTTGTCAGGGGTTTTTTCTTTTGGGTGATAGGTGGGATTCATGCATCGTTTTCAAAACCGTTTCTCTTTAAACTGTTATAATTGCAACTGTGTTACCCAAATTTGCATGATACCAGTCTTGATCTCCTGTTTGTGAGTCGTACTATAAAAGAAAACCACTGTAAGTTTTTTTTTTTTATCTTACCCTAAGATTGAAAAAAGGAAAAGAATCTTTTGTCCGTACGTTGATATTTCCTTGTTTGTCTCAAAACTTGAGGAATGTTACGATGTAAATAATTCTAGTGATCGTAGGGAGAATTTATCTTGTATGATCCAAAATATTCTTTTGTACTTTATTTAGAAAGGAATAAAGTTTTATTTCTGTTGAAAAATTTGGTTTAACCTTTCTCAATTGATTTCAACGATTGTTCCAATTTTTGTTATTAAAGTGCGTTATTCTGATAGTTGATTTTGATTTTCTTCTAACCAGTACTGATCCTTAGTTCGGAAGTATTTCTCAGGCTGAAAGAATGATGCATCAATTATTTTAAAATTTAATTCAGAATGAATGAGATATTTCCAGTCAGATGGAGACGATACGACTGCAGTCTGAATTTTTAGGATAGCCTCTGCAGTCTTACTCATAACATTGAACGAATAAAACAACTTGCTTAATGGTTTCCTTCCCCAAAAGCAGCATGCTTGAAAGGCATCTACCACAAATAAAAATGCGCTTCCCTGTTTTTCTCCCAAAACAAAGGGGACAAACAAATACCTAAGCCTTCCCCAAGCTTTGCAAATTTTTACAGGCCCTATTCTCACGCGATCATGATTGCGAGATCGAGAACATTCTGCACCCCTGCTTGAAGGGTTTTTAAATTAAGCACTGGCCACGTTTAAAGGGCTCATATTCCGGCCTACTTGTTTTAGTTGAAAAATAGAGCTAGTTTTAATTGAGGCACTGGATGCGAAAAGGGCACTTCTCAGTTGCAGTGTCTCAGTCTCCTCTAATATTTCATTCAGTTCAAGGAAAGAGAATGCATCCATTTCATTAAAAATTTAACTGAATATTCCTTATGATTCTACAATTTTCTATGGAAAGAATTCTGGCAAAATCATCCTTTAAATAATTCTTCTCCACGAGATTAATTGGACCCCATTTTGCAATAAGGAACCACTTTTTCTAGCTCATTATAGAAACAACATATGTGACATTGGTTTCCCTAAGCAGAAAGGTGCTTTCATGGAGGAGCCAGAGATAGTGGTTCCGTATCGCAAAATGTAATCCGATTAGCAACAGAGATTCTGAAACACTGCAATCGAGAAGTGCCCTTCTCGCACCTAGTGCCTCCAGCACTGACACCAGTACTAACAAAAAATAGCTGGGGGAAATCATCATGCATACTTTTTCAGATCAGGATAAGATATTTTCAAGATAATGCTATGACTGTGGCCGAGAGGCAAGAAAAAATTAATTTCACGTGCGGTCGACACCTTGCGGACCGATGGAGCAATGCCCGCAAATTTGAAATTGGCGCCGAAGATGTGGTGTTCGATGCGATTCGTAATTGGCTATCTGGCACACCGGTGATTTTCACGTGACCTCGGCCCTAATCTGCCAAGTCCTTAGTCCTTTTCAAGTAACCCCAATTTTAGTGAATTTAAGTCCTCAAGTTTTCTCACCGGGTTAATTATCAAGTACAGTGTCAAAAATGTGGCCGCCTTTGTTTCAAACTGCCGCGTGCGATTTTCTCGATAAACCAAAGGGCCAGAAATCGGAGCTCCCCCAGATTTACAACCAACTCGTGCCCGGACGAGCTATGCTCGCGGCCGCCGCAGAAGGCGACAGTTGCGAATTTGGATCCAGTAAATACATCGGGCTGTGCTGTCTCGGCGGAGTCCTGTCTTGCGGTCTCACCCACACTTTAGTCGTACCTCTAGATCTTGTCAAATGCCGACTCCAAGTCAACCCAGCTAAGTACAAGAACCTTTTCAATGGCTTCAAAGTCACCATAGCCGACGAAGGCTCCCGAGGTCTCGCCAAAGGATGGGCCCCCACGTTTTTCGGCTACTCCGCCCAAGGATGTTTCAAATTCGGTCTCTATGAATACTTTAAGATAGTTTACCAAGGTATGTTGGGTGAAGAAAATGCCTACTTATACCGAACATGGCTCTACCTCGGAGCCTCCGCCTCGGCTGAATTCTTCGCCGATATCGCCCTTAGTCCCATGGAAGCGATCAAAGTCAAAATTCAAACCACCCCTGGCTTTGCAAATACCTTGCGTGAGGCTGCCCCCAAGATGATGCAGGAGGAAGGTGTTAGCGCATTCTTCAAGAGTTTAGTGCCCCTGTGGCTGAGGCAGATTCCTTACACAATGATGAAGTTTGCCTGTTTCGAAAAGTGTGTTGAGTTACTTTACAAGCACGTCGTCCCCAAGCCTCGTGCTGAGTGCACGAAACAAGAACAACTGGTCGTAACCTTCGCAGCTGGTTACATTGCTGGAGTCTTCTGTGCCATTGTCTCCCATCCTGCTGACTCAGTTGTGTCAAAGTTGAACCAAGCTAAAGGAACTTCAATTGGTGGAGTCTTGAAGGAGCTTGGTTTCATGGGAATGTGGAAGGGTCTTGGACCAAGGATCATCATGATTGGTACGCTGACAGCCTTACAGTGGTTCATCTATGATTCCGTGAAAGTCGCTCTGCGAATGCCTCGCCCTCCACCTCCAGAGATGCCCGAATCTCTCAAGAAGAAACTTCAACAGTAAGCACCATCCAAACTCTAGTATTTTTAAAACACCTAGTAGTAGTTTTCTTCTTTTTCTCCATGTGAACTTTTTCTTCTCGCTTACTTACTTTTAATTTTCCATACCTTTAAGTATCCTCGAAGTTCAGCTTAGCGATCAGATCCTAGCCCTCTGCTCCCTGAAATCTGAAAAAGCAGATATTCTTCCACATAAATCTTCCTCCTAAGTCATCTAAGGCTCATATTGATCCACACTATTTAGGTACTCTATAATTTTTACATTCTTAGCGGAAAGCTCTACCTCCTCTTCTCTACGGTTTTTTGTTCCTCTTCTAAAGCAATCTAGAGGCTCGAATTACTCATTCCGTTCCCTGGCATTTATTTAAATTTGCATTTTTTATTTTTCTCTTGATTCTGTTAGTCTGAATGCTGTAGTAAATTAATCTAGAGCTTAGCCTTGAGTTACCCCTGGATTAAAGAGTTTTTAAAGTTGTTTATGATAATTACAGTGGCTTAAAGCAATGTATTTAGGATCAGTAATCAATTGAACCTAGGGAGCAAGAGAGATTAACTCAAATTTTCACTGTTAAATAATTATTCCTGTATATCTTGTAAAATCTCTTTGGTTTCCTTTGCTCAAGTCTCAAAAGCTAATATTGAATCATTAAATCTGAGACAACCCAGATCCTGGGTTGTCATTTTTTTTTATTGCAGTTGTCCGTACTAATTGTATAATCATTGCAATTTATTCGATTTTAGCATTGCTTACTCGTAATTCAGAAGGGAGTTGATATCATATTCAAATGAATTTTAAATTAATGGTTGACGTTGAGCTCAAATCAGCTATCAGTTAACCTTTTAATCTTGATGTCATTTGGAGCACCTTATCTCGACTGGAAGTGGGTTTTTAGAGTGAGGTTTTCAAGTTCATTCTCTTCCTCTGTTCCTTGTAAAGCCCCAATCTACTTTATCAGACATTCCACAGAATCTCGGTTTTAAACACAGCAGTATTTCTTATTATATATCATTCCAAAAATTGTCAAAGCAATACAGTAATTCTTTACTCAATGGAACACAGAAAATCTGGTTAATCTAACTAATAGGTATATCCTTCTCTTTCTGCTTTGTTACTGTTGATTTTATTGATAGAAAAGAAAGAAAATTACATGCTTACTACTAGGGTTGAAAGATGACATTGTATTTATTTGTTATGTATATTACCTTAATGGATAATAAATTTTAAAAAAAATTGAAAATATTATTTGAAAAAAAAGAATCATCTCTTTTTTATTATTACCCACCTATTCAGTGATTATTCAGCATTGGAATTATGAATTGCTCTTAATTTTAACTTGAGTCAGGAATTAATGTGAACTTTCTAACCCATTATTTCAAGGAAATTATTTTATTTACCTGAAAGTTTCATATTTTCATGTCCACAAAACGACTGTTGCTCCTATTTCATCTTAAGTTTCCTCACTGATTAATATTCAAATTTTAAACATCTTTAATTGGATTTTTACTTCTGCAGGATTTTCAAATCAAGGAAATTGCTAGTTTTCCACAAGTCATTGATTTTTCAATTCCGAGCACAACCCATTTATTATACCTAAGTCGAATTCAGAAAGTGTTTGATATGTTTTGAATTTCTTTAATAATGAGTAATTTTAAGTTTACATCATCTCTGGAAATTAATTCATGAGACTAGAGCATTTTCTTCGAGGAACACTGAATCAACAATTGACTGCTAAAAATACAAAGTACAAACAAAACGTTTCATGAAATCTTCCCATTCAGTGGGCAGCATCAATCCATTTATATGCATTTTCTCCTGGTGTACCTACTTATCTACTTTTTCTAAACATTCATTTTAGGCCAAGAAATCCTGTTCAACCCTAATAAGTCAGGGAAAAGATAAGGGGATTTTGTAGTCGAAATTTTCTCCTCCAGCCGAAACATGGCATTTTTCCATAAGAAAAGTTCATATTTTTCCTCATAAGAAACAATTAGAATACGGTCCTTACACACATCCCAGTAAGTTAATCAAGAAGGTTAATAAATGTGTAATAACCGATAAAACAAGGCAAGTTATTGTTGCATAAACTGTCTCCGTTTAATTGTATTTATGTATTTATTTTTAATTTTCTCACGTATTACTTTTTTCAATTCGATTAAATATTTTAAAAAAAGACGCAAATAACTATCTTTGTGGGATGACGATGTATGATTGCCACATTTTGTTGTTTCAAGTGGAGAAAATTGAGGGCGCTTCTGCTTTTTCAATGGCTAGGTCTGTAGGCAACTATTCGTGCTCTCTGGATGCCCGTGTTGCATACCAAAAAATTGCAGGCGCTCTGGTTTTCTTAGGAATAATTTATGGCTGCAGTTGTTACTTCTCAAGGGTTTTCTGCGTTGCATTTACAATCAAGTTTCCATGAAATCCTGGAAATTCGGATGAGTCGTGTAGCATCATGACAGCGTTGCAAAGTGGTGCAAATTATGGAATTGTCATCGTCAATATTCAGCGGATTTGACATACGTGATGCCTCTATGGAGATGCTGTTTAGTGAAAAACTTGCACCATTTTGGTACGCTTCCATAGTGCTACACAACTCACCCAAATTACGAGGATTTCATGGTAGACAAGATTGTAAATGCAGCGTAGGAAACCTTTGAGAACTAACAACTGAAACCACACATTATGCCAAAGAAACCCTTAAC